GGTTGAAGAAGCTCATTTAACATTTTCCTTTTCATATTTCATGAATCGAGAGTGAAAGTATGAAGAGTAAGTTTGTCATCACAATTATTTATCTACTTTATATAAAAAAGTATCAATATCACGTTTTGAACTATGGTCTTTTCAAATAAAAACAATAATCACAACCAATTAAACTAAACAAATTTGTGCTATCTTCTTAAATTTTAAACATACACTAAGCGAAGATTTGAAAAGCAAAGGACTTTCATCACGGTTAGATAGCCTATTAAATTTTATGAAAAACAAATTTTAATATGTGATTTATAATTTTTTTATAACCTATACAATTTCAGATAATTTTAAAATTGCACCCCATATTTCATTGCTTGAAATATTGCATATTGAATGCAGTATTGAATATGAAAAGGAAATGTACAATTCTTTAAATTAATATAAATTTTCAGAACTACTACGAAACAATAATATTTTGTACAAACTCTAGGTGAATGATTCTCTAAAATTTTAGCATGGTTAACTGTTAAACTTTAAACCTCTTTCTAATCTGGCATGAATGGACCCAACAATAATGAGACAATATTGGCCCCAGAACAGAAGTAGAAAAACATCAATAGATTTACAATCTTCTCGCGCTCTCCCAACGAAGAAGTTCAAGTAATTTTGTGGTTTAATGTGATGTTCATTTCACCAGTTTTGGATGTGCTGATCAACTTATAGGGCATTAACATATGAATGAGTTATAATTAACCTCACTATACAATTTTTACTCTTCATAATAATTAATTTAATCTTAATATTTTTTATGCTTGAAGTATTTTATGTATGAATTAGAGGTATACTTATTATTTGTGACATCAATGGTAGTTGGTTCAAATGTAATATTTCATCTGGTAGTCAAAACCGGATAATGTGTACATTTATGACTGTTTTTTTTTATCTTGGTGTTGTGAATAAGTAGAAACTTAATTATTATAATGCATATAACTATACCTAGGCACATGGTCAAGCTAGCACGACACTGTTAGTGCATACCATGAAGATAATATATGTGGATCGACCCCGTATAAACATGAATGCTTCATGGGCTCGCGCACAAGTGCGAGCAACACACAATCTATATTTGTGAACTCATATTTATAGAGAAATGCGCCATTTGATAAAAATAAAATATTCTAAAAATAATATATATTTGAATTTATGAGTAGTTTTTTACATCAACGTGTGACGGCTCATATTCTAAAAAGGTTTATAAAATGCATTCATTGTTTATTTTGATACTCAAACCTTTTTCAATGTATACAACTAAACACTCATTTATAAAATCTTTCTTGATTAACTTCATTGCTAAAAGCTCTTTTATATGGTTTGTAGTAATAACAAACAATGCCAACAATAATTTTAGAAGCAAGTAAAGTGAAGAAGAAATTGGGATTTAATATCTCTTTGGAAATGTGTGTGTGTGTGTTTTGAGCTTTTCCTAGTTCAAAAAATTTGAGGAAGGGGTTGAAACTCATATATTTGTTCGAATATTGCATATAAAGTTGGAGTATTGAACATTTGGAAGCGATATATAAATCTTAAATTAGTATTAACTTTCAACCTGGTTGACCAATAGCCTTAGACCTCTTGCTAATATGACATGATTGGATCCAATAATCATAAGATGAGATTTAGTTTGATATGCTGGTTCAAAACCATTTTTTATGTCTAATGAATTTGTACGACAAATACATGTAAATAAGTGAAGATGAACCTGATTATGCATTTTGATTCTTTAGATAAATAAAATGGTTTAAGCGGTGAGCTACTATGCACTCACTCAATTGGTTTATCGAGAGTTGTTTTTATCACTTTTAGTAATTAGTTTATTCACAAGCTATGAAACTACTTTGCTCCATCGAGGAATAAGCGGTCATCTGTTCGCCAAGTTTCAGGTGCTCTGATTCACATTATCGACCGTGAATGGAGAAGAAGCATTTTCGAATGCAAAGTTGGAGAAGTAATTGGGATGTTTCTCGATTTCTCTTGATTTCAGGCAGTGGGAAGAAAGAGGAAGGGAATAGTGAGAGTGGTGAGATACAAAGCTCAGAGAGAGATCGAAAAACAAACGGAAAGAGAATGAGGAAGGCAAAGAGAGAGTGAGAGGACACATTTAAAAGAGGGGGGAAATGATAAAGTGTGAAATAATTTCCCTTCTCCTTTGATTAGAGGGAGCTGCCCTCCAAACAATTGTTGCTCAGGAGCCTTCAAGGATGTGCTCCGGGTACCCGACACCCCAGTTTGACCCTGGGATGGGGTCGAACCTTTCTCGGTTGTATTACTCGCCCCACGCTTGGTGGCCTTCTGACCCTTGGTATGATTCTGGCCCTTTTGAGCACTCGCTGATGCAGGTAATTCCTTGCCCCCCGATTTGAAAACTTTCAGGCTAGTCTCCGCCTTCCTACCAATCACAAGAGGCACATGATGGATAGGGACACTCACCAACCTTTGCTATTTCCACTCGCATCCTTTCTAGCCAGTCCCAATGCAACTTGTTCAGGCAAAGGTGTTGTGCTCAGCGACATCGCAGCCTAAGACGCCACATGAGAAGAAAAAGTACACTTGGAGAGGTTAGACTCTACCCCCGCACCTTCTCCCTGTACCTGCATACCTTCGAGAATGGCTGAGGAAGTTCCACCATTACCACTATTATCCATATCCATTTGTGATGATTCCTCCTCAACTAGTGCCGAGAAGCGTAGCCACCAGGTATAGACGTGACCTGTGGCGTCGGTGTAGCTCCACTCCCATGCAACTGGGGGTTTGTCCTCCCATTAGGTATTGACTTCGGTTTGACCATCATTCATCACCACAGGCAGTCAGGGGAGTAGTAGTAGCTTTGGGACTTGGTTGAGGTTCCACCGGACTCTCCGGTTGCACTTTCCTTAGTGACGGGTAGGTTGACTTCGAGTGGCCATACATACCAAATTCTGTGCAAATGTTATGAAACCCTTCGTACTCCACATAGTATGTCCGCCCCTCGATCTTATATTGCCCAATAGGGGTTTAGTAAGATCCACATCGATGCTAACTCGGCCATATTTTGTGCGAGCACCAGTGGTGGTAGCACGATCAACCCGGACCGGGCGGCCAATTCGAGAAGCAATCCTCTCTACCGCTTCGCGATTTATGAACTCGACGGACAGTTCTGGCAGGCGAGCCCAAACAAGGGTCGTCGCCACTTCCACGAATTTGGCGTTGAAACCCTTACGCCACGACCTCACTGTAATATAGTGATTGTCGATCATCCATGGCCCTCCCATGGAAGCTTGCTCATAATACATTTGATTCTTGAAGCGAACAACATAGAACCCATACGAAAGACTAGAAATTTGGATAGTTCCAGTTTTTACCCAAAGCATTTCTAATCGTTTCGAGATGATGGGGAAGGGAAACGTACGACCCATCACTTTGACGATGAGCGTTGACCTCTAGGATTGCCGATATCTCTGCTTCTCCAAAGCTTTGAAGGGGATTGTGGGACATCGCGTTGTCATCCTCGGGTATTTCATCGTCTAGGTCGTCCTCACGCATGGCTTCCGCCACTCCTCTGGGTTAGACTCAGCTACATACCATTCCTCCGCATTGAATGGTCGAAAAAAGTTTGTCGATCCCGCGCCCCATGTCAATGGCGGGGGATTGTTCACAGGGTCATCACCCTTAATCTGCTCGTGGTGCTCCTCACCGAGTACCTGTTCCTCCTCCATTGGTTGCGTATCGAAGAGAGGGTTGGCGCACATCGCCTTCACTTTCTTCTTTGGTTGCTGCGATTCTTTTTCCCACCTGCTGTTTGGGGATGACGTCGCCGAGGGAGGGCGACGCTGTCCAGAGGTGGCATCCGGCGGCTGGGCTTCCAGGGAGATTTCTGGCGCCAGCCCGGCCATGGCCGACGAACGCAGCCGCTAGGGTTAAGGGTGTACAAAATCGCTTACTCCGAGAAACGCAAAGAAATTTTTAGTCGCTTTTTAAAAGTGGTTGTTTCTTTATTAATCACTAATATTATATAATTTTTAATCCTCCCTCTCTCGTGCGTTTTTCTTTGTTTTTTTATAAACTTTTTTTTTATTTTTAAAATAAAAATCACAAAATAACATCCAAAATTTACAATTCTTACCTGAAAATTATACAAAGTAAAACATATAATGTACAAACATTATAATAAACATCAATAATATGTTATTTAAAAAACAGAATATAAAAGTGTACATATCATATCATAAATATGTACAAACTAATATTACCATGTATACAAAATAAATTATAAAAGTATACAAATAAAAAATACAAACTATACAAACTATATCATAAAAGTATACAAAGCAATATTAAAAAGTATACAAACCAGAACCGCATCATATAATTATACAAATCAAGTTAAAATTACATACCAAGAATACTAAAAATAGAAAATATCACTATAAAAATTACTAATCGATAGAACTTGAAGGTACAAACCATTGTACACAATAATATTACTTGCATTACAAATGAATAACTACCATAAAAAAATATACAAATTAATATTACACAAAGTATACTGACCATATCATAAAATTTTCTTCTAAAATATAAAGGATTTATAAACAACACAAAACTAGAATGATCTCTTTTTTTGCCATAGTTATCCTCGAAGGAAAATTATGATGATTTAATTACTCACCAACAAAATATACATGAAATAAATATTTATTAATATAATAATCAACAAGTAACACAAATATTACTTTTAAATCATGAATTAAGTAGTTAGAAGATTGTAAAACATTTGAAAATATAAACATTAACATAAAATATTAAATAACAAAATTCACGCATATAAAATTATTTTTAGAATGACAAAAAGTATTTCTCAGTTTAGGCATCAAATAATGCATTTTTGTTTTATAAAAAGGTTTAATACAACGTTGTTGGCCAAACAACTATGGAATCTGCACCAGAGACCAGGGTCCCTAGTAGCACAAATCATGCGAGCAAAATATCACAAACACACGACGGTGTTGGAAGCTGAAGTTGGTTACAGGCCAAGCTTTATCTGGAGAAGCCTTCTAAGTGCCCAGGATTTTCTCAATAGAGGCTTGCGCTGGAGGATAGGAAATGGCGATAGCGTTAGTATCTGGGGAGACCGCTGGGTTCCCGCGGCCCCGGAGGGCTTCATTGTTTCCGCCCCGTGCGGGCTGCCAGCTGACGCAAAGGTGCGAGAGCTCATAAACCCCGATACGAGACAGTGGGATACAACTCTGCTTGCTGCATGTTTAGATAAGGAAATGGAAGAGGCTGTCCATAGCATCCCATTACGCGACACAACGGAGCAAGACATCCAGATTTGGGCGTCCAGCAGGAATGGGGAATTTGTGGTGAAAGACGCGTACCGGTGCTGGGTTGAACAGGAAAATAAAGATCATGGCAGGACAGTTCCAGATGCAGCCCCTGTTTGGAAGAAAATTTGGAAGCTGAACGTTCCCCCAAAAGTTAGACACTTTCTGTGGAGATTTGCCAAGGACTCGTTACCTACTGGGGTCAAAGTGAGTGCCCATAACCCACGATGGAGCGACCGATGCCCGTTCTGTGATCAAGTGGAGACCCAGGCACATACATTTGGTGATTGTGAGTGGGGACGTCGCATTTGGCGGCCATCTCCTACGTCGGTCTGTTTTGAGAAGAAAGTCGGCGAAGACTGCCTAGCCTGGCTTGAGGCGGTGATCGATGAAGTGGAGCTCAATCTCCTGGAGTCATGGAGCGTCCTGCTGTACTACATTTGGAAGGAGCGTAATGCTCATTTATTCAATGGGTTTAAGATGAATGAGCTGGAGATTGCTACCTCAGCTGCTAAACTGCTAGCTGATTACCAACTAAGACAAGAGAAAGAACTCAATCTGCAGATGGAAACTCCTCGAAAGGTGTGGACGGCTCCACCGACGGGAAGGATTAAGATCAACTCGGATGCAGGAATCTTGCCGGAGTCTCGGTGCTGTAGCAAGGGACTCAGCTGGCCGATTCCTCTTTGCAGTGGCTAAGAAGATCACAGGTGTCAGGGACCCGGAGGATGCGGAAGCCTTGGCGATGGAGTTGGGTGTGCAGATGGCGGTTCAGCTTAATCTTGCAAACCCGATATTGGAGACGGACTGCTTGAACCTCGTGGCAGATATTTCCCAGGCGGAAAGAATCAGAACTGAAAAGGGAGTGGTGTGCAGAAACATTCGTCGGCTGCTTGGGCTTTTAGGTGAATCCTCTTGGCAGTATGCACCTAGAGAAGCGAATGTGGTAGCTCATATGATGGCACATGTGGAAACAATTTGGAATGAAAGGTCTGTTTGGGTGGATAGACCCCCGATCATCCTGCTTGATCAGTTAGAGTTGGACAATGTAACTTTCCCTTCTGATTAATGGAAGATTCCCAGGTTCACAGTAAAAAAAAAAAAAATACACTTGTATATCCAAAACTTTTACGGTTGTGCCAATAATATCCAAATTTCCCGGAATACCACTTATATCCATGTTTTAAAGTTGTTCTTTGCCAAATCTACCCATTTTCCAATATATTTTTGGTTAAATACACTTGTATATCCAAAAACACAGTTAAAGAATGTGAAGGAATTGGATATAAGTAGTATTTCAGGAAATTTGGATATTATTGGCACAACCGTAAAAGTTTTGGATATACAAGTGTATTTAACCTTATAAAAAGTCTGAGTTGTGAGCTACGACATGAATGTAAAATGAAGAGTTTACTATACTACAAGAAAATCGATTATGGGAAATTTTGTCATGGGTAAGTTCACATGACCGAAAATGACCTTTTTATTACAGGGATATATTCCTCTGACTTGTTGATTGTTAAATAACAATAAGAATAGTTTCCCATGATTGTTGGTGGGCTGGAACAAAAACATGATATATGTACCACAATCACAGGGTTCTCTAGTGACTATTGATTAGTATCCATCACTTGATTTTCATGTGATTAGTAAGGACCAATCATCACGGGGTTCCTCTGACCATTGAGACAAAACCCCGTAACGAATAACCCAAGAAGTCACGAGAAATCTCATGACTATTTCACAATTTAGTCATGAGAATTATCGTGACAAAATAGAGCTTCTGTCATGGGGTTTTTTCTGTTATTTTATCTTCTCTGTCACGGAATTTCCCGTGATATTTTACCTTTGATCACGGGCATGCTTGATACTGGAATATATCATGACAAATTCTTTCCGTCACGGGAATTGGCTGTTCAGTTACGGGAAATCCCGTGATCGAAGGTGAATTTTCCTGTAGTGCGCTAGGTTAGATTTTTCGTAGTTTGATTAATGTTAAAATACATTAACTACAATATCTATGGACTAGTGAACTTTGAGCCGCGCTACGCTGCGGCTGGGGATGGATTCTGGGCTTCCCGTTGCAAAATTGTTTTGTTGGATGACACTTATAAATAGGGGTGTAAGTTTGTCTACAGAGTCGTGCGGGTCTGTTTGTCTGTAGAGTCAAGGATCGGGTCATCTTTTGATCCTATAAAGGTCGGATAGGGTTGGGTCACTTTTTGACTCTATGACCATTAGCAAAAAAATAATGATATGAAATTTCTCCATTATGAAATAAACCCATAACATTGATCAAGTCGACAGAAGATCAGTTTGTTTATTATTATGGGTCATATCCAAGAGCCGTAGCCAATTTGGCACTTCCATCCACCCACCATACAAATTCATACGATGAATCGAATTCAACCCTCCAAATTCGTTCCATGTAACAGCCATTTCTCTTCATAGTTTCATCATCCATCTTCTTCTTCTCCAATGGCGGACATCAAGGAAATTAACAGTGCTAAATTAGAAATTGTGATGTTTCCATGGCTGGCCATGGGCCACTTAATCCCATTCTTCCACCTCTCCAAGCTCCTAGCCGAAAAGGGCCACAGAATCCACTTCGTCTCCACTCCCAGAAACCTCTCCCGACTACCCAAAATACCCCTACACCTCTCTTCCCAAATGACCCTCGTCTCCTTCCCCTTACCTCCCGTCCCCAACCTCCCGCCGCAGGCCGAATCCTCCATGGACGTCCCTTACAACCACCAGCAGCTTCTCAAGCAGGCCTTCGACTCCCTCCGCCCGCCGCTGACCGAGTTGCTCCGCCGATTGAACCCCGATTGGGTGATTTACGACTACGCCTCCCACTGGCTCCCCGCCGCCGCCGGCCGCCGGATCTCCTGCGCCTTCTTCAGCCTCTTCACCGCCGCGACGATCTCGTTCACCGGCGCCCCGGGGTTCGTGGATTCGCGGTCGAGGGCGGAGGATTTCACCGTGGCCCCCGATTGGGTGCCGTTCGAATCCGACGTGGCGTATCGCCTCCACGAGATCACGAAGTACGTGGAGAAAACCGAGGAGGATTCTTCGGGGCCGTCCGATCAGATCCGGTTCAGCGTCGCGATGGAGGAGAGCGACGCCGTGATCGTGCGGAGCTCGCCGGCGTTCGAACCGGATTGGTTCGACCTTCTCGATCGGATTCACGAAAAGAGGATTGTGCCCGTCGGATTCTTGCCGCCGGTGACGGGTGAAGAGTCGGATGAAGGTGGATCGGCCGTATGGGGTGAGATTAAGGAGTGGCTCGACGAGCAGCGAGTCAACTCGGTTGTGTACGTGGCATTGGGAACGGAGGTTTCGCTGACTCGGGAGGAAATCGCCGAGCTGGCTATGGGACTGGAAAAGTCCGGGCTGCCCTTCTTCTGGGCGCTGCGGAGGTACGCGGCCGGGTCGACCCGGGACGCGGCGGCAATGCTGCCGGGCGGGTTCGTGGAGCGGGTTGCGGGTCGAGGGATCGTGTACACGGAGTGGGCCCCACAGGTGAAGATACTGAGCCACGACTCGGTCGGAGGGTTCCTGACTCACTGCGGGTGTAACTCGGTGGTGGAAGGCTTGGCTTTCGGCAAGGTACTGATATTGCTTCCGATGATAAACGACCAGGGGCTTAATGCTAGGTTGCTGGCGGGGAAAAAACTCGGGATGGAGATTCCGAGACGAGACGACGACGGATCGTTCACCGGCGATTCGGTGGCGGCGACGGTGACGGCGACTATGGTGGAAGAGTCAGGCGAGCCGTGGAGGAGCGCCGTCAAGGCTGCCAAGGAGACGTTTGGAGACGGGGAGAAGAATGACCGGTTGGTTGACAACCTTGCAAATTACTTGCAAGATATGAAAATGGGTTTATGTAAGAAAACGATTTAGTTTGGATCAGATGATTAGGATTTAATCGTTTTAATCATTCGATTCGTATATTATGGTTTTAAAAATATTAAATTCAAATAATAAAAAAGAAAAACTTTACCGTTTGTTTATAATATAACTAATTACACTATCGTTTTGGAAATACTAAACCCAAAACCTATCCAAAAAAGTAGGAACCTTATGGATGTGTTAGCTATTTAGCTAATGAAGATACTTAAGCAACAACACAAAAAATGCAACTATTTTACGCTACACAAAAAAAAAAAACACTAATTACAATTTCAAACAAATAATCCGAGATGAAATTGATCTAACTGCATAGATGTTAATCGAATTTTAAAGAAATTCAATTTGTTTTAACATATGTCTAGTTTTTCTTTTTCTTACAAACATTTGTCGAAAAAAGCTAAAAAGATTATAAGCGAACACATTCATAGTATGTTATTCTTCTAATATTAATGATAAATAAGGATGAGTTGGATCGTATTGAACGAGTGGGTCGGTTCACGGGTCTTTTTGTTCACCCTAGTTACTATAGGTTGCATTAACAAAACTTTGCTCACTAAACGAAGACCAATGTCAAGGAAGGACTTCTCATATGGCAAACTGCATTTGGCATTTGCTTTATTGTTTCACAAACATGGTTAAGTCACCGTGCAAATCAAGAAACACAACTATTGCATCCGCAATTCTTTGTTCAATGCCCAAGCTGTGCTCCCAATTTCTGGTAAAGCCCATCGATTTCAGCCTTTAAGAAGAAGAAGAGATCCAATTTCAGCAAAACCAAAACTAAACCAAGAAAGGTACGTAATAGTTTCATATAAATAACAAAACCCAAGTTCCAATTACCTGGTAATACTTGAGCAGCTTGTTTCTTTTCTTCTTGAGAGTGGCAGTGACCAGGTCTTTCTCAATGTCAAATGGCTTAGCTTCCAATATCACCCCCTTTATGTATTCAAACCCCCTCAGCTTCATCATTCGTTTTATTCCACAGCAGAATTCAAAATCAACATAAGTTAGTGCGTATATATGTATACTATCGATCTTGCCTTTCAATTCACATGGCAGAAATCTGTACCTTATTCCTCTCACCAGTTGACTTGAGCTCCAACAAAACATGTTGCCTTAGCTGTTCAAGGCAACAGATCTCCTCGAATGAACCCTTGCAGCCATTTGCATTAGCCCATTTCATAGCATTCTCTTCATGCAGCACCACAACTGCAACCAGCATTGGTTTAAAGCTGTCTCCATACACCCATATCTACAGAAACAAATCAAACAGGACGGTTAAAGAACATTGACCGAAGAACAAGCAAGGGTTTAGGGTTTAGAATTCAGGGTAAAAGGGTGTTTTCCATTACATCGTCGATGATGGGAGTGATCCCAAACACATTCTCCAAATGCTCTAGAGCAATGTACTCTCCTTGTGACAGCTTTATCAGGTTCTTCTTCCTGTCAATCACTTTGATCACCCCATTTGGCAATATTTGCCCAATGTCCCCTGAATAACCAACACCATAGGCAAGTAAGCAGCTAAAGCAAGGGGATGTTTGGTTTTTGTGTAAGTTAGTAGGTAAGAAAGGAATTAATCAACCAAGAAAAAAACCTGTGTGGAACCATCCATCCTGAATGGATTCAGTAGTGAGTTGAGGGTTCTTGTAGTAACCAGCAAACATTGTCTTCCCTTTCACACAGATCTCGCCACAAGGTGGCTCCCCAAGTGGGTTGTACCCCATGTCGGGCACTTCCTCGAGTCGTATCTCGTTGTACACTGCCGGAGCTCCCACTGCTCCCATCATGCACATCTCGTCCGGGAAGCCTAGGGTTGCTGGCCCACAAGTTTCAGTCAATCCTGCATTGCAAGAAACAGAACACTTGGTATTAAACTTGTGCTTTCATGGAGTTATTATCTTGTCAAATGGTAAGGAAGGTCCAATCTTATGAAATAGTATTAGTACCATAGCCTTGGACTACAAAGGCGCAGCAAGTAACCCGCAAGAATTCTTCTACTTCAGAGCTCAAGGGAGCTCCTCCTGATACGATTAGCCGAAGTCTGCCTCCTAGTTTCGCCTTCACCTGCGAAAAAAATACACCAGAAGATACATACATTTCCATTAATGTTGGAACACAGAAAAGAGTACTAGTAAAGCTTGCTTCTTAGTGAAAGGAAAAACCTTTCTGAAGGCCAATAGATCAGCCAATGGCGAGGAGTACTTTTGCTTGTAACCCATATTCATCCAGGCTAGCTTGCTGCATTATTAACAGTTAGGACAATTTCAACAGTCTGTGTCTAAGTAACATTGAGTTGATTTTGGCTGGGATTCGGCGGAATGCCATACTTACTATCGGTAGAGAAAATCGAAAACCCTCCTTCGGATTGGATTAAGTTCGTCCAATGCTTTCACTATACCTGAATTGCAGAATGGGGGAAAATGTTTAACTTCAACAACCAGATAATTTTTTTTTTGTTGCTTTACTTGTAGTGACTGTAAAAGAAATTCTTGCATGCCTTCATGTATCTTCTCAAAGACTCGAGGCACGCCAGCTAAAAATGTCGGCTTCAGTTCCATCAAATCATCCCTCAACGCGTTTAAATCCTTCAAACAGTTGAAGAAAAACAGAACAGAATTACAAATCCACAAGCAATGAACAGTGAAGTGTGCATATCTTGAATGGAGAAGCTACATTATTATACCCCATGGTAGTAACCAACCGAAGCGCCTTTGCTGAAGAAGTACTCTTCGATCATTCGGTCTAGGATATGTGCAAGCGGTAGGAACGATAAGTACACATCATCAACTGTCATCTACATACTCAAGAACCCAGAATCAGAAATCTCTCACTATACCAGAAAAAAGAAAGACTTTGTACACATGTCCCCTGGCTTAATTTACCTTGTCTTCAAACTGTTCCATGAACAAGTCCATACCCCTTACAAAATTTGCAACCGTTTCATGTGTAAGCACAACACCTTTCGGATCTCCACTCGTACCACTCGTGTACATAATCGTACAAATGTTGAACGGCTGTGGTGGCACTATCTCCGTTGGATTCTCCTTCCCCTTTATGGAAACACCAACAACAGTAGAATCAAAACAACTATTCAATGAAGGGAACAGAAAGCCATGAAAACAAGGATACAGAAATGGGATTTTGTCAGCAAACCAAGTAATACCATCACTAGAAACTCCTGCCAGGAATATGGTTTCGTCCCGAGTTCAGCTGCTTTCTCCTTGTGCTCGTTCGTCAGGGAAGTGAAGCAAACGACAGCTTTAAGTCGTCCAGCAGCATTGCAACTAGGGTTCAGTAGCTGCAATTAGTAACTTACTAACCAGTGTTAGAGCAACGTTTTTCTTTCTCATCCTGAAGAACATTGTAACAAACGGTATGCAGCATGCTCACTTCATTCACTTTCTTGTCTTGCACGAAAACGAAATCCACTTCTGCATGATCGATTATAAAGTTGACAGCATTCGGACCTGCACTCAAAGCCCCATTCAACATACATTATAAACCTCATCTCCCAGATTAAGTTACGAAAATGCAGAAGAAGAAAGCAAGGAGAAATTGTGAATGGATGCAGGAGTTTACCAAGAGTATCATAGAGAGGTACACAGACCAAACTGTGGGCAGCACAAGCCTAGTAACAATTTCACATGACATGTCACTTCCAATAATGTTCATATGGAAGAAAGAAAGAAAGAGACGAGCAATGTCGAATCCGATTTCATAGCCACACCACGCATTACCTCCATCGCAACAGTCCATTCGGGGCAGTTCGCGCCATAAACACCAACCCGGCAGCCCTGTTTGATACAAGAAAGCAGTGAGCTTCCTCAAAAAAAATTTCCATCCCTGTTTAGTTAGTAGAATTGGAGTGGATGGTTAGTTACCGGTTCAGCACCAGAGGCTCTCAATGCAGAACCAATGCGCAGAACTTCCTCATTTGCTTGCTTGTAAGTCTTCCATTGATAACCTCCATACTATAAAAACAAACAACAATCAAGAGTTCAGTTGCTTCCGAAACCAAAATCAGTGTATCCCTAAAACGGTGGATTCTTTCTTATTACCTTCCCATTAACGAATTCTCGCCATCCTAGCATTTTATTGTCAGGGTATTTCTTGACTGATACACTGAACAAAGTGAAGGTTTTAGTCAAAGACCAAAATGACTGATACATAGATTCTTCACAAGGCAATGTTTAGAGAGAGAGAGAGAGAACCTGAAAAGATCCCAAGCAGTGGAGATATCGGGATCAGGAGAAGGGAATTCATTCTTGGACAGCAGATTACGGTAAACAGGACCAACTGATGGTTTCCCGTTCTCCCCTGCTTTGCCTTCCTCCACCGCAGCTGCAAAAAGCTTCATCATTTGTTTCTACACCAATTCCCCTGCACTTGATCTGTGAGGGATAAACGTGAAAGCTTCATGGGTAAGAAATGCATGCATTTGCAGTTGCAGAGAAGAAATGCAACTTCACCTTACTATAAAAGGGTAGAAAAAGACCTTGCCTTTCTGGGTTGAGGCAAGCAGAGACTATGGTGGGAAAACAGGGGAAGGTGAAGTTTGATCGTAAAAGCAAAAAAACAGGATGAGAAAGTTTCAACCTGATGGTTCCATAGGAACAGAAACTCTGTGTAATATACAACTGTCAAATACCTCCATAAAAGAAAAGTTTATTTATCACCAACCCTTTCCCCCATAGCATCCGTACCGGGCAAAAGAGTGTGAGTGGCCGATTCCCAGGTTCACCCATTTTTCATAATTGAAGGAGCAAAACAGAGGACTCATATCCATACCTGAAAACAGAGGACTTGGGTAATGACTAATGAGAGAGAAAGCCACAAACTCAGGCGGATGAATGAGAGTAGCGGAGATGATGAACTGACCGAAACACAGATTATTTAGTCTAAATTGGCAGAGCTAAGAGATGAGAGAGAGAAAGAGAAGCAGAGGGTGTATTGAATGAAAGTAGTTGTAAAGCTGATGAACATCATTAGCAGTGTGCTGTCTGGTCCAGTGCGTGTACATAAAAAGTATTATATAGCAGTAATAACTAAAAAAGTTTCGATCTTCAGAACGAACGAATGAAGAATTGGGAAAGTTGTATCTTCTCTCCTGCTCTGTTCTTTATCATCATTGCTAAGGAACAGAGAGGGATGAGCATCTTCAATCTCCGTTTTACATTTATTGCTCTCCTCCACTGTCCTACTACTGTTGTACTCAGCCATTGTCAGGTCGTGTTTCATTGATCGCCACATTCATTGCACATTGATACCTTACCCTTTTTCATTCTTCACTTCACTTTCGTACTGGTTTCACCCCGCAGTACACAACTTGTGCAGGAAATACAGAGTTATCTACAGACGTCTTTCACCGGATCCCAACTGAAGCGTCTGGCAATAAATCGTGTTTCAATCATTTCATATCAATAATACGAACTACCGAATTGGATTACGATATGCAGTTTTCAGTCGAACCATCCCATTTCTTCCACTCGGATGAACTATACTAGACTACAAATTCTAATCATAATCCCATTGCAATGCCATATCACACATCAAACAATTATCAGAGTTTGCAAATCCCCAGCTTTTGTGTTGCACTAAAGTTTTGATTCTATTCCAGAGCACCAACCAAGTCAGGAAAACGATGCTTGAGAACAAGAAATATACTCCACAAGACTTTGTACCATGGAATTCTAGGTGGGTGAATCCTGACAGATTGCCAAACAATGCAAACTTTAGTGATAGATAGTACAAGCTATGATCTTTACAAATCAGTACTACATACATTACAAATGTCACAATTCATATTACAATAAGTACAAATTATAAAGACATGGTATACAAACTAAATACCATATTATATTAATCATATTACAGAGTACACAAATCATATTAAAAGTATACTAACCCGATAAAAAACATACAAATTAGTGCCGCGTATACTACAAATGAGATCACAATGTTTAAAAACTAAATCACAATGTATACAAACTATAATTATAAATAACATAAATCTTGCTAATAAATAATACAAACCATCCTGTTTACATATCAATACTACAAATGAGATTGACAAACATCATAAACTAGATCAGAATGTATACAAACTAATCAAAATGTATAGAAACCGTAATAAAATAGTATACAAACTAAAAGACTATGTCAAACGAACTATGTTACAAATCATATTAGAAAGTATACAAATCAGTATGAGTATATTACAAATGACGTTGAAAAATATTATAAACTAAATCAAAATGGGTACCAACTAAATCACAATGTATACAAACTAAAATACCACATCATACCAACCATATTACATACTATACAAACTACTTACATTACAAACAAGACCGATGTACATTACAACTAATTTACATTATAAATGAGATTGACAAATATCACAAACTACGAATACATAGTATATAAACTAAAATACCACATCATACCAACCATATTACATATTATACAAACTACTTACATTACAAACGAGACTGATGTACATTGAAACTAGTTTACATTACAAATTACTTCCAATGCAAATGGATATGACTTGCATTACAAATCAAACTGATTTGCTGCTAACCATAAACTCTTGTCATTACTAATTGAGTCTACATACTATAGAAACGAATAAGACTTTGCATTGCAAACTAGACTAATTTATATTACAAACAATTAACAATACAAATTGATATGACTTACATTACAAATTATCGAACACTGAATTATTTTTAAAGATTGAGATTGTAATTCATTTTGAATTGTTATTTGGTATTCGGATTACAATATTGTGATTAGTAAATACCAAAATACTAAGAAATAATGAAAATTAAAAATTAATTAAATATAGCACAATACTTTGGTTCTTCCTCACTCTCCGACAACTCACAAGCCACCATCCAACCTAATTTTTGCTTTCCAATTTAAGTCACTCTTCTCTCTCACTCAATCTCTTGATTCTACGCGAAGCCCCTCTGCACTTGATCACAACCACGCCTGAGAGAGATTTCACACTTAAAGCTGGATGGGTACCAACTAAATCACAGTGTATACAAACTAACCATATTACATATTATACAAACTACTTACATTACAAACGAGACCGATGTACATTACAACTAATTTACATTACAAATGAGATTGACAAACATCACAAACTATGAATACATAGTATACAAAGTAAAATACCACATCATACCAGCCATGTTACATATTATACAAACTACTTACATTAGAGACTGATGTACATTACAACTAATTTACATTACAAATTACTTCCAATGCAAATGGATATGACTTGCATTACAAATCAAACTGATTTGCTGCTAACCTTAAACTTTTGTCATTTCAAATTGTGTATACATACTATAGAAATGAATAAGACTTGCATTGCAAACTAGAGTAATTTATATTACAAACTATTAACAATACATATGGATATGACTTGCATTACAAATTATCGAACACACAATTCTTTTTGAGGATTGAGATTGTGATTCATTTTGAAGTGGTATTTAGTATTCGGGATTACGAGAATGTGATCAGTAAATACCAAAATACTGAGAAACAACGAAAATTAAAAATTAATTAAATATAGCACATACTTTGGTTCTTCCTCAATCTTTGACAACTCACAAGCCACCATCCAACCCAATTTTTGCTTTCAAATTTAAGTCACTCTTCGTCTTGCACACAATCTCTTGTTATTTTCATTACATTTTAAAAATAGACACTCTCATTATCATTAGTTGTCTCTCAACCTCCAACCCATCGAATTAAAGATTACCAATAATGAGAAACTGAGATATCATCATCTCCTCCCTCCTCATTAACCATGTCCTAGCTCTAGACGAACTCAAAACCCTCTATCTAGTCTCTTTGCGCTAAATAAGAACCTCCAATCCATCGAATTAAAGATCACCAATGAGGATAAATTGTGATATCATCATCTCCTCCCTTCTCCTTAACCATGTCCTAGCTCTAGACGAACTCAAAACCCTTTATTTAGTCTGTTTGCGCTAAATGAGAACCTATAGTGAATCAGTTCAATGAAAACTTGATTGAATCCAATTAATTATAACTTCAATCAGTTTTAATAACTTTTCTCACCTCACATTCTCATTAGCAAACTTTCTAAACCTACAAACTATATAAAATGATGAGGATTACGGGTGTTATTACCATTGTCTATTGATTTATATATTTGATTATTAATTGCATAGTATCGTAAAATACCAATTGGGATTCCAAAATATTTTTGGATTGAGATTGAGATACCAAATTTATTTTTGGATTGAGATTGATTTTAGGTTGTAATTTGATATTTAAGAGTTCAGTATTTGATACTGGAGTATCGATGCCGTACCTAGCCTGCATCAAGCACATACCCGTGCTTGCTCTTTTTCTAAATCTTAAATAAGTAAAAACAGTAGCCATAACCGGTACTAAATTGCCACCATTTCCCGTAGATGACATCGAGGCGGGGTTCCCATCTGTACAATGTCCAGTTTCTGTTCTCTATCACCTAACAACAAAATGACCTGAAGATGATAATAATAGACCTGAGAGCTGCTGGCATTGTCAGCTGTTAGACCAAGTTTAGGGTAGCATTTCCTCCCTCTATCAAGACTATACAATGTACAGGTAGGTAGGTATACAAATACAAGTATGCATAAGGATGTATCCACAAATCCAAGTACCCTGCCGCAAGAGCGAGCATTTCTCTTTTCATTGGCGGCTGCAGCTGAATCTTAAGAAGGCAACATGACCAGCATTTCAGCTAGTCTGTAGCGCTGCAAGTCTCAGCTGAAAATCAGCACCTCACAGTTCATCTCCAGAACGCCTAAAACCAAAACCTCCTGTGTTAGCAAAACTGTGGTCCAAGTAATTTCAGCAGAACTCAGTCTCTGGATTCTTCAAGCCAGCTTCTGCAGAAAATGAAATTAAGAGAGTGAATATGTTTGCCAAACAAAAAACGAGGGATTGAGTCCGTTTTCACTCTAGCAAGTAGGAATGGCAGTGGGGCACGGCAAGGTGGCTTATCTCAATACCCTAACAGATCTGCACCATGCACAAGTCAAGTTGAGTAATTTTGTTTGGGGTATGTGTCAAGACAGATCGACTTATTATGCAACTCAAAGAACAACGACCAAACAAGTCGATTCTTTCTAAGAGATTCAAGAACGATTTTTTAATAAAAGCGAGAGAATAAAATGGAGTATGAAAGTTCATTATCTGAAAGATAGCCACTTGCCAGTAACTAGATTATATTAATAATATCGTTTAATAGTAGTTCAAATGGGAATGCTTTGAATAAATATCATATAAAACAGATTCCGGCCCCATGATATCTACCCCAAGCAGACCAGAGCTAATGAGTCAGGTAAAAGTTGTCATTCATACTAGCAAGATTTCTACTTAGCAGTGGCAATTTGCATCACCAAGTCGTTTTATTTTTATACGACAAAATCTCGAAGAAGCAAAGCACGATAATCAGCATGCACGGCCATGGCTTCAATTGAAACAGATAGAAATCAAGTTTGCATACCTGTTGTGAACACGATCGTGACAACTGAGCAGTGATTGTTACTTGCAGACAACCTGATCGATCTACAACGGCCCAGAGCCTCTTGTCTTGTTCCTAGCAGCACCAGCTCTGCGGAGTTGGGGATTCTCTATCGAGTAAACTAAAATGTGTCCATCTTTGGTCCCAGCCAAGAAGCATTGCTCTGGAGTCACCGCTAGGCTTGTGATCATCTTTCCAGCTCCCACATACCTCTTCACAACATCGAGATTGTGCATCGATCGCACAACTATTTGCCCTTGGTCGCCAGCACAGACCAAAAAATCACCACACCTACTGAGTTCAATACAGTTGAGGCGCCCATTTGATTCGGAACTTGCCAGATGTTTGCCATTGATAGAGTAGAGATGCAGGCTAAGATCATCCTCGGCATAGAACACTATATGCCCATGCCTCGAAGCAACAAGCTTTGACAGTGGATGGCCAGATGGATGGCGCAAAGATCTCACATATCGGCCTTCCCTAAGGGTATGGAAAATACACGTCCCGTCTTTTGAACCACTGATGACAATATCGAGCTCCACACTAACAAACAAGCAGGTGATTATGTCGTCATGACCACAGAGGATATGGAATGGGGTTTGAGCAATCACGTGGTCTCTACGAGGTACTTCTGTTTGTGCGTTTCTAACTCTTTTCTCGTGGCCTCTGGCACGTACTACTTCCCACACCATTACAGTGGTATCATAACTTCCAGTTGCAAGGATAGTGTTATCAGCAGACACTGCAAGATAAAAGGGTCATAGATAAAAGACAACAAGGTCACAAGAGGCAACACCAGATTCATAAGATTCAGTAACAGATTCGTTCTGTGAATGTTGCAGTGCATCGAATACAAATGCATGAAATGTGATAGGAATAGATTTTAGAGAGTATTTTGCTGGGATGAACTTTCTTTAAGAGGGAGTTTTAACTGAAAGAAGGAAATTTATTTACCATTGCTATCAATTAATAAACTTAAAGAAAGAGAACAATCCAGAACTTAACCATGAAGCATGAAATCCTACCGCTCCTCTAGGGAATTTGGATTTCAACTGCTAGATTACGCCTCACATTTGTGCCCCTTAAGAGACGAAACAAACACAAGGGTTTCACTTCCCATCACAAGATGGAATTAAATCTACATTCCATCAACCAAATGCCCCCATGAAACACATGGAATTTCATAAGATGTGAAAGTATTTTCGAACTCTATTTATCTTCTTTTATTTTCAACTCCAACTTTTCATTTTGACACCCTCGTCCCTGGACTCTGAGATAAGATATACATATAATATAATTATATAAATACTATTGTCAAAAGTACCTGCAACGCAGCTGACCACATCTTTATGCTGGCGAATGCTCTGCACTGTCCTGCCATCATGTAACGAAATAACTTGAAAGCTATTTTCCCAATTCCCACATGAGATTAAGAAATTCTCAGCTGGTGATAACATTGTCGCAAAGCATTGAGCTCCGATTTCAAAATTTTCAGCCAACGGACTTGCAATTTTTCGAGAAGAGAGTACATCACCTCCAACTCCAAAGAATGGATCCTGTACACAGTTGAATATTTGTTAGTCTGGAGTATGAACCAATTAAAGTTTCAATGAAAAGATGCATCATTTTTCAAGAATTCCCGAGCATTAGTGTTTTCCGGGGATATATTCACCTGAGAACCGGAGAAAGTAAAAGTGCCACCAGACTGCAGTTGAGTTGTCAACCATAGCTTCACCGACAGTGTTAGCCCTTGGCTAACGATCACTATGTTTGAGTCCACAAGACCAACATATAATACAGCTGATGGTGAAATACTAGTCACAATAGATGTCAAATTGATAGAATCAGGAGCAAAGTACAAAGGATGAGCAATTGGGATAGGCGGTCCTCTTCTTGGATGCTTCTTACGAAAAATTTGGATCGGTGTCTGACCAAAATTTGCAATTTGGTCTTCAATTGCTGATCTCTGTAAATCATCATCCATTGTTTCCAGATCCACTGCACCTTCATAAGTTAAGTAGTAAAAGATATTTGCAGCCTGCAGTGGAACCCAAGGAAATTAGGATGGACAGAAAGTCAACGGCCAAGCATGTTCAAGATTCCAAAGAATTTCAACCGTTTGGTGAACACAAATGGCAATACCTCTACTGCTGGTTTTCCTCTCTGCTTACAACCAAACACCAAATCAATCCAGTGATGAAGATTCGAGCTTACATACTCACTTTCAAGTGCCTCCCTATTCATTTTTATGAATAACTCAGGAGAACCCTGTAACAGAATATTAAGAACAAACATTAAGTGCCGACGAAAGTGGCAACTAAAAACAATACCAGTCTACACTTCATCAGCAAAATAAAGCAGCAGTATGTATCTGCCACACAGGATTGATATGTGCAAGACTGGTCATTCAAGAATGACCATATAATACTCTTTACAAATTTTCTTTTGTCTTACTTATTTGAGATTTTCATTGGCTTCCTCATGGAAGTAAAAAACTTATATGAACTTATGATTATGCTAGAACCAATCTTCTTCTGGGTAAAGTTTGTGTTAGAAACAAGGTTTCTAACAGTTGTAGAATTGGGGAATTAGTAGACCAACTAGGGATTGATCAAGCTAGGGATTAGAATTAGGGAATTTAGGAAGAAGAAAGGGGAAGGATGGCTGCCGATCGGCCAAAGAGAGAGAGAAAGAGAGAGGAAGTTCGGCGCTAGGGAGAGAGAGAGAGAGAGAGAGAGATTAGGATTTAGGTTTTCTGTAATTGATTGCTTCCTGACAAAATAACTCCCTACTGCAGATTATATAATCCGCAAAATACCTAACTGCTACCCATATAATGAAAATATCCCGAATGATCCCCCAATTATCAAAACCGACAATAATACGACAATAATACGAAATAATGAAAAGCTGTAAATTGTTTGTTTCTAACATCCCCGCCTCCTTGGGAAGCAACCTTGTCCTCAAGGTTGCGGCTTCTCTTGCTCTGCTCCGGGTTCCTCCGCCATCTCATCCTCCGCCTCGTCTTCCCATCGTCCCACCAAGAACATCAAGTCAGGCTTCCCGCACTTGTGACCAAAGGTAAACCGCTCGTCACAGTTAAAACACTTCCCTTCTCGCCTCTTCTGCTCGATCTCTGCCGGAGATAGCGTCCTAAACCCCTTGGGTGGTGGCCTCGGTCCCGCTCGAATGGCAGCCGAAGGTGGGCCAGTCGCCGCACCTCCTCCCGAACTAGGCCCCGATGCAGCTCCACTCGTTCCCCCACTCGCGCTGCTACCACCGCCTCCTCCTCCGGCCGGCTTCTGGTAGCGGCCTATCACGCCCCGCCAACTAGCCAGCTCCTCCTCCTTATTACCTGCAAGACGGAAAACAGCTCGAAGTGAATCGGGCTCAAATACCCGCACAGCCGCTGCGATCTCTGGCCGGAGTCCCGCCATGCACAGACCCACCAATGTCTCCTCCGGTACGCCCTTGCACTGGTTACCCAGTTTAAAGAACTCTGCTCGATACTCCGCCACTGTCCCAGTCTGGCGCAGCTTCGCCAGCTGCTCCGGGGCCCACCCTTCCGACTTGCCAAACTGATACCTCAGCTCCTCCTTGAACATCGGCCAGGTAATCAGCGTTCGAGCTTCAGCATAGGTCCGCTCCATCCATTCCCACCACTGCAATGCATCCCCCTCTAAATAGAAGGACGCCAACTGAGCCTTCCGTTCCTCTCTAGTGGGATGGTTCTTGAACCACCGTTCTGCGGAGTATAGCCACAGACCTGCATCCTCCCTGCCGTTGAATTTTGGAAACTCAATGGTTGGGGGCTTAGCTCGAAACACCATGTCATCTTCCTCCTCACCACCTCGGGAGTAACCAGCGTGCCTCCCATACCCCGGCGCCTCGCGGTGATAATGCTGCGAGTACCGGTGCCCCCCTTCATACTCCCACTCTCCTTCCTCCTCCTCTTGATGTCCCCGTCCTCGGCCCATCTCATTTCTCTGCCTCTGATCACCAGTTCCTGATCCCATGAATTCCCTACCAGTGCCGTGCTGATTCACAAACGGCGGTTGATTGCCTCTAGGCTCGTCAAACTGACCTTGGCGAGCCGGAAAGCCCCTGCTGCCCGTTCCCCCTTGGCGCGCCAGCTGCTGCCCTGGTTCGGTCCTGGTCCGACCGGGTTCGGTCCGACCGGGTTCGACCCGACCGGGTTCGACCCGACCGCTTGGGCCCCTGCTCGACCCCGCCCGGCCCGCATACTCGGCCCGGCCCGCGGGTCCCCGGCCCGCGGGTCCCCGGCCCATGGAGCTCGGCCGACCCACCTCCCAGCCGCGGTCCGCTTCTCGCCGCTTCCCACCTGGCCCGCCTTCCGTCCCAGCTCGGCCCATATGGCTTCCTTCATCCCTGTTATAATCCTCCCCGGGCCCATTCGGCTCATTGGGCCACGGCTCATGATCATACTCCTGCTCCAAGCCCATCAACTCTTCTTCATCCAAGCCCACGTACTCTGCCATCTTGGCCTTGCCCCGCGCGCGCGCCTTCTCCTGGGCCGAGGGGGTCGGAAGCAGCCCATCTTTGATTGTTGGGCCAAAGGAGACCTGGCCCGCACGCAACCCCAGCCGGTTAGGGTTGGCCGCCGCGCCGCCCTTCTCACCCCGCCCCTCCGCCGCCGTGTTCGCCGAGGCCCGCGCGGCGCCGTGGTCGCCGGCCGCCTCCACCGAAATCGACCCCTCCCCTGGCGCGCCGTCCTCCCCGTGCAACTGGCCGCCGCCGCCAGCTTCGATCCCTGATTTCTTCAGGGCCGCCACCAAGTCACCCACCTGTCCCGCCAGTGCCTTCACAGCTCCTGTCAGAGCATCAAGGGTTTGGCCTTGCTCCCTAGCCCTCTCCTGCAGTTCTCCCAACTCTTCCTCCACCCGCGCCTGTCTCCTCGCCTGCGCCTCCAGATCCCTCCTCAACTCCTCATTGCCGGTCAGATCCTCCACAGCCCCATCGACCCCGTCGTCACCTGCATCGGCGCCCTTGTCACCCGCCTGATTCGCCTTCTCCGCTTTCTCTGCTGCCTTCATGGATTTCGTCGTTACCATCGTTGGTTCTCCGGTTTCTAAGCTGTCCCTGACGGAGTTGGGAAGAACTCTCCGATCGGAACCGGGCTCTGATACCAGATGTTAGAAACAAGGTTTCTAACAGTTGTAGAATTGGGGAATTAGCTAGACCAACTAGGGATTGATCAAGCTAGGGATTAGAATTAGGGAATTTAGGAAGAAGAAAGGGGAAGGATGGCTGCCGATCGGCCAAAGAGAGAGAGAAAGAGAGAGGAAGTTCGGCGCTAGGGAGAGAGAGAGAGAGAGAGAGATTAGGATTTAGGTTTTCTGTAATTGATTGCTTCCTGACAAAATAACTCCCTACTGCAGATTATATAATCCGCAAAATACCTAACTGCTACCCATATAATGAAAATACCCCGAATGATCCCCCAATTATCAAAACCGACAATAATACGACAATAATACGAAATAATGAAAAGCTGTAAATTGTTTGTTTCTAACAGTTTGTAACTCCTATTTAAAGGAGTTATTTGAAAAAGAGTTAACTTCCATATAATCAGTTATAAACAGAAAAACATGACGGAAAATGTGAGATATAACTTAGAAAATAGACAAACCTTAGCCCAGGGAGGGAGACAAACATGACTGATTGGATCTCCATCTTGTTTGACGCCAAGATGATAAGAGTTTGCATTAACAAGGAACTCCGGCATGTAGAAGAACTCGGGAATCAACTCCTTCACATCACTTGTATTAGAAAGACAATTCCGAAATGTACCCTCGATACTTTGAAAAAGACGATCAGCATGATCAAATTTACCACCCTGAAAAACAATAAGGTAAATGGAACTTTTTACCAAACCCAAACAAAGGAAATTTTCATGCTGAGTAAGGTGCTTCAACCTTGACATCCAACTGATTTTGTTAAAACAAAAATGGCTCAAAGCTAAAGAAAAGGTGCAAACAACTTCGTGAATTGCACAACACCTGTAACTTTACTTCAATAACATAGCTGATATAAGCCAAAACTGAGAAAATCATTAATCCTAAGCTACTAAGGGGTACAGATATCAAGCAAATAAGAAGAGGAAGCGAGGAGAGGAGGTTCCCGCACATTCATCACTTAAAGCAGCAAGCAAACCTGTCAACGAACGTTGGAGTTGAGAGTATGTTCCCTTTTCTCCTCACAACCTGGAATTTAAATGCAGCTTACTCTATGCCTATGTTTTGAGCTTACTCCAACAAAACTTCTACCAATTTTAACTAGAAGCATAAATAAACCAACAATCTTCTAAAGCTTCTAAATTCAACAAATCATTACTATTCATCAAGGTTAACATTTTCTCTTGCAATGTTGCTCTCAGTTTTGGAATGTTTGACCTCTCGCATTACTGGTTAGAAGTTTCTCAAAACCTAAATCAATTTTTACCCAGCACTCATGTCTGCACCAATGAAATTTTTAAGTTCGATTATCTTCATCTCAGACTAGATAAACAACCCACTGTCTCTCATAAGAAGAACTCATGCTGAGAACAGCCAAAAGATAGCCTAAATTTGTAGGAAGGACAAAGAAATTACATAACTGAAGCTACAAATAATCAACTCATGAGAAAAGCCAGGTGAAGAAGCCGAAATCTCAAGGTACTTGCAAAAGATACTATGTTTCATTAGTTCAGAATTAGTTTTGAAACGATTTACTTCTACCGATCACGCCAAATAAATAAAAGAAACCAGCAAAAACTAGTACCTGCATATTACGGTGTAAAGATGTAAATGGCTCTAATCTAAGAAGGTAGTACAGCACGATTCCCATGCTTGAGTAATGAGAGCCATAGTAGAAGCTGGGTTAAGAAAACAATCAGTAGGTTGAACAGGCTATTAACAAAGCGAACAGAGAGTAAACATAATGCCACATGGGTTACCTGGGTATGTCAGGATCAGAAAAGTTACGATACCTATCTTCAAAAACCTGTCAGATGAAAGTACACACAGAAGTTTTACTACGTTAAAGGGATATCAGCTAGTATAAACAAAAGTAATAAAGAAAAAGAAAAAAGAACAGACCTCCAACCGCTTCTGATCCAATGCACCCACTGGTTTGCTGAGATCACGAAAGGTTGATGACTTATTAAAATCAAGAGTCTCAGATGAATAATCTGCCAAAATCCAAGGGAATACAGGATATTGGGTCAAATCATTGTATGATCGTCCAGCAAGTGAGTTGAGAATCATTAAGTATTCAAAGTTAGTCATATCCCTTCTCCTCCAACTCTCTCGGGCAATTTCTGCTATCTCAACAGCTGCACGTCTGTCCACAAATGAAATGTATCCACTTTTGTCCTTATTACTTCCTTTGGGAAACAATAATTCATTTCTGGTAGCAACTATCAATGACCCAACTTCTTTTGCATCCTTCAATGACCCAAAATTCAAAAAGACTGGAGCTGTCGAGTCAGCGAAGAAGATCTCTATTGCAGTGTATCTCAGTAGATGGCGTGTCCAATGCACAGCTTTAATCTATAATCAACAAGTAAACTATTTAAATAAACAATGAACAAGATCTTAAAACATATTCAGAACAGATGAATTGATTTCTTTACCTTGGAAATACACCATCGCCTGTGACGCTTAATGTGTTTTAGATTTTTCTCATGCTCATTCTCATTTGCAGTCTCTGCCCTTTCAGCAGTGATCCCCTTCCCGGGCCTCCAATCATTATGAATTGGCCCTTTAACAGATTTGTTCTTTTGATCAAGCTTGGTGGCTTCAGAATTAAGTCCAGAGTTCAAGTTTTTGAAAACAGATGAACCTCCAGTACCTTCAACCAATAACTCGCCAAAAAAGTGCAAGACAGTTTTCATGACTGCTAAACTTCCAGCCATTTTCCTCTTTGGCGTCACAAGTACACATGGAAATGAGACAAGAACCTGAAACAAACAAGTAACCATAAGTTGTAAAACAATTATCAATTCACTCTTTTTTAGAGCAAACAACAGTACCTCACTGGCATCCGCCTCTGCAGAGGAAGAAGACTCTCCTTTTTCTTGAACAATCTCTTTCTGATCACTACTCCCTTTTACTAGTTCTGAAATCTGTCTCTCTGAATTATCCTCAGGTACCATGGATTTTTGGGCCCAGGGATCATCTTCACCAGCCTCTGAGTTCCCATCCTCAGTTATCCTACGAATTCCCTTTAGTAGAAACTGCTTCATCTGTTCAGGAATATGATGAGCCACAAAACTGATTTTACTATCACTTGTAGGAATATTATCTTGGTTGCTAACGCTGGATGAAGGAGGATGACACAACTTCTCATCAAAATGATAATTCCGTTTCAACTTTGGTCTGCGTCGCCATGCATCTTCTGTCTTGTCAAGCTTCCAATGTGTTACAGCAGCATTTGGAAAAGGGTTAGCAGACCAGGGACCTCTCTCGTCAATGAGAGTACGGAACATGTGAATCCATTTTTCCTGTTAAGGCAAGATAAAAAAAAGTTCAGGATGTTTCCACGACTAGCAAAGGCAATGACCAAATGGAGAAAAAGTTAAAGAGTATGTCTGGAATATAAAGCGGACATACAGCAAAATTTTGCTGCTCCTCCTCATGTGCAAGATGGAATCCAGACCTTCTGCTGTCGTCTGAAGCCAAAATTGAGTTCAAGTTACCAAGTATTTCATCTTCAAATACTTTCTTGTTACTAAATTCCAAAGAAGAATTCTCATCCATCCTAGTACGGAGCTCATCCAACTGCTTGGACCGGTCAGACATTGATGTTTTTATGTATTTTATCTCATCTGAAACCTGAAGAACGAAATCAAACCATGTGAATAGTTAAATAGACAGATTGGCCAGCAATTTCACTGTTCATTAGTTTGGTATCCCCCAAAAAAAAAAAACATTAACCCTAGTGCAGTCCGTGCAAAAGAGAAACATATCATCAAATATGATAATTCATTAACTCTGCAACAGATGTTGCTATAGCAGCTCGTCCCTACATTGTGAAATAAACAGACTGAGCTAACTAAGGGCGAGATTCAAAAGTTTAAGTTTATTACAGATAGAAAGACATTTCTGTTAGAGCATGGATACAAACGCGTGCCTGTGTACATTGAAATGAAAAATGTGGACGAACTGCAAAATATTGTTGCATATTTTTTGGTAGCCAAATCATGCATCACCCAGAAGCATGAGTGTGCCATACTGTTGTTCTAGAGACAGCTAACGAAGTCGATAATCCTGAAACTGGTTTGCATAACTTCTGATTAACCATAACCAGACAAATAGCTGGTCGATAGTTCAAATCCACGAATCAGCAAGTCTAGTCTGGTTTAAGAGTCATGTTAGCTACAAAGATTTTTTCCGAAACTACTGAAGATGGATCAACTTGATTTCAACCTGATTCTCCTAGCAGGAGACCGATGTACACAAACCATCAAGAAAAAAGCTGGCCTCTTGCATGGCAAAGAAGGAAAGGAAAGGATACCCAGTTGAACGCATATTAGTGAACAGAAAGATAGGGTAAAACCTACAGAACAATCAACTATAATCAGGACATACCGCTGCCAGAACCCTCTCCTTCTGAAACAAATTGTGTATGGAATTGGTGTCTTTCGAGTTGCTCCCTGAATCAGAAGTGTCCATATTCACCATGCTAGCTGCAAGCAATGATTTTCCATAGTTCAGACCTTCACGGATCAGGTGGGAAATGACATGAAATCGAGCTCCATCATCCAGCTTCCCATATTGAGATCTGATAGCAAGTAAAACCCTGCAAAGTACAATCAGCAAAGTAACAAGATTGGTGAGTAGCCATTAAAGAGTGTGTACTAGAGGAATATCCTACATAAACAAAAGTGCAACCAGAGAGTCGAGAATTATACCAGATATAAAACTGCAATTTGCTCTTACTTTGCTCCTCATCTACAGGCAGAAGAGAAGGAAAAAGTGAAACGACTTGTTGCACACATCTTGATGCCCTCTCTAGGGAAGATTTGCAAAGGTATAAGACTGTAAGCCGGCTGACGATTTTCGGGCATCTTTCGCCTCTCAAAAGCATCGCCTTGTCAACAGTTTTATTTGGTTTTCCACCTAAGGCATTGCCAATCCCTCCAGACACAACCACAGCAGCCATCTCTGCTGCCGGAATATTTAGAGATTCAACTAGGCCTCGGGCCCTTTGGCCAAATGATGGTCCATCAGTTGATGATGTTTTTGGTAATATTCTGCTGGGACCCCTTCCATTGAGCTCACTGATAACAACCCACAAACTATCATACAGATTCCACCATCCATGATCCAGCACATCATTATCCGTACGCATACCAACCCATGGATTCCTACAGGAAAATTACATATCCATAAAATGTATAACACAAGTACCAAACAATAAACAACTAGAGCAACAGCCAACTATCATTGACTAGTAGTTGAAGAAACAATGGCGGTCGATTGGGGTCTAGAATCCAAAAGAATTTCATGAATGGACAGAAAGGACATCTTTTCATGGCCAGAAGAAGTTGGACAATTCAGATCCCAGTGCCAACTCTTGACAACCAGGAAACTTACAATGGTTACACTCGTTGGGTACAATGCAATACGATTAGATTTTACAGTCATACAACTAAATAGATACCTCAGCAGCAATAAAAAAATCAAATTAGATAATTGGATGTATTTTCCCTCTGGTTTGAGAATATTCACTTTTTCAGGTGAACAGGTACCAAGATGAGGTCCTGTGAACGTTACAATGGTTGACAAACACTAATTCCAAAACCTTCTTATAGGCAAATACTGGATCTAGAGTTTGACAATGCATAGCTGATATAAAGATCGTAGTCTTAAAGTCAGACTTATCATCAGATTTCCAGTAGAAATGAACCCAGCATCCTTTCTTCAGATAACCCTCAACTCACACACCATATCAAGTTCTCATACTTTCTTCAGTCATCAGAGCCAGGAACTAAGATTGCAGCACTACAACAACTTAAGTATGCCTGTTTTGGAACAGTGGGGGGCGGAAAATCTAAATGTTGCTGAAAGTTAAGTACGGTCAAAGTCGTTTCTAAAACATTGTTTAAGCCATAAAAAGCCTAGTGTTTGTAAGGGTGACCAATATGACACTAACATGAAAGAGAATTAACTACTAGAAAGTCAGGTGGCTGCACCTCAATATTTCACCATCGATTTCTCCTTTTAGAACCTCATCCAACCCAAAGGTGGTGCCTTTATGACTTTCTGATTCCAGCAGATCAAGCGACATCTCAGGATCATTAGCGGAAAGCTACCAGAAAAATGGAAACATGTTCATCCATCATTCAAATAACCCAATATAGCAGCAGCAATCAAATGCAAATTAAGAAGATAGCATAATTTACTGAGCTTGAAAAGAGAGGCTCAACATCCAAGAACATAATGAAGAAGTTGCAACTCTTAAACTAGAGGATGGCAAATAAGGCTCCAGAAGAAACCAGTGATCTACATATATTGTCATGCCAAATAATCTATGCTTCCCTAGAAGTAAATGCTAAAGTAAATTTAAGAAATGCTTATATTTAGTTTACTCTCAAGTAATTTAAAATGCAAAATGATTCCACAATAAAGCAAAACAGGTCCAAGCACCTCTTCAGTAACCAGCGTTCTGCTTTTTTTCTATGGATGTTTTGCAGATACTTTCTTGGACATTTAAAGGAGGTTCCAATCACATATGGCCTCGACTATTGTGATAAATAACAACACTCCAAACAGTAATGGCACAATTCACAGGTACCGACTGCCAAAGGAACTTAATTTTAAGAAAAGCATCAATACAGTCGACTATAATCCTGCTCACAACACTTTCCATTTATTTAAAAATGGTCGACGGTGTTGACTCATTGACAGGAAAACACTGTCCTACTCAGTTACAAACATTGTGCATTCGTGACTCTTCTACCAAAAAATATCACTTACAAAGATTTACGTGAACAGTTTCAAGAGCTTATATTGAGAACATTACCAAATATATCATGTAAACACAAACATATATAGGATTCTTAATCTCTAAATTGTTCAGGAAAGAACAGTTGCTAGTGGATATTGAAGTAGTGGCGAACTCTATCCACCTTCAACAAACTCGAATTCAGAACGTACATACCAGAATGCTGTGGTCCATTTCAGAGCAAAGCATCTCATCAAGCAGTCGCAAAAGATATAATGTGTTGTCTCGGCATGGTTGTACAGCAAACACATTTTCCTCAAAACACGAGTCTAACAGGCGCTCAATTGCATCTTCGTAGATATCACGAAGTAACCAATGGTATGAAATATCACCCTGTTGAATGAAGAGTTCATTAGATAAAACAATTATTCAAAGCAAGAATCAGTATGCTAGCTATTTATGTTCGAAAGAGCAATTCAACGCACTTGCTGACTGTGCATAAGCAGGAAATTAACGGTGTCTTCTAAAATCTGCCAGCCACCCTTCACGGAGCGCACATAGTGACAAAGAACAACACAAAATAGATGCCTCAGCAAATCCTGCTCTGGCGCTTCGTCAACTGGGTTATGCGACTTCCCTTTGTAGGTTTTCAACGCATCAAGCTCTACAGAAAAACACAACCAAGCATTCCATCCATGTTCCTGTTCATCATGTCTGGCAAGTTAGGGCTAACCTGACCGAATGTAAAGATTATTGAATCCAATTGTTCAACTGATCATACCACTAATGCCTCGATGTTCGAGGAATTTGAATCCAGTAGATCTAGCAGATCTCTGATTATCTTTGTTCGTGCAGATCTATCCTTGCATCCAGACAAATATCTAAATATGAGGACTAAGATCTGAGGAAGTGAAAAGTGGGAACTAGTGCCCTTGCTTTTCTGCTTATCAACCAGGCCCTGTTTCTGTAACACCTGCGTCAATAGGTTTACATAGAACTAATTAGTAACAAATTCGACAGTATTTTACAATCCAATTCAATACACTCAACATGGAACACCCTTTGGGGGATAAGAATCCTCCCAATGATAAAGTCAGCAACAAATCAGGATTACCTGTCTAGGGCTGGCACCACCAAGAAGTACATCAAACAAGATAGCACATAAGTTATCTGTCAGTGGAAATCTGAACAACCTATCAGAGATGGATGAGAAGATTGGTTGCATTCTCGAACTGATTTTTTTATGTCTCTCTGAAATAGACTTGGATCTTCCAACGTTAAGAAGAAAATATCTGGGACCCTTCTTCTCAGTGGGTAAACCAATTAATAGTTTTCCTAGAAACTGCAAGCCCAGCAACCGGACTGGCTCATGCTCCCTACAGGAACAGAATGTGGTGTGCACAGATTACAGATAAGAGACAAATGAATTTTGCATGTGTTGAAATGTCATTTTTTATAAACAGGAGGAATAATCATAAGTTCCACGAGGTAAAAATGATGCTTACAGCTGTAGAAGGTTAACAAAGACATGACAACCACCAATCAGATCAACTTGTTCCAGAAAAGCGGCAAGCATCGATTTTTGCGAGAGAGCACGAATGACCATGGTTAGAACATCCTCAATGCATGCCATATCCTGGCTTATTTCAAAGAAGGCTACCAAGGCCTTTACATCTGACCCAGTTATGCCCTGCCTGCACATCGGAACAAAGTTGAAGCTTGTAAGGTACAAAAAAACCATAATACATGGCAGAAGTTTTGAGGATGGGCCCATACAAGGAACTCCAAGTAATTACTATTGATGTTTCAATTATTGATCCTAGAAGACGAAACACTTACAACAAGGGTACACCAGGAAATAAAAACCTTCAGAAGCTTATGGGAAGAACAAATAAAAGAACATTAACAGAAGAATACCCAAGACTCATTTCACCAAGACTTAACAAAAGAAGACGAATCTTGTGGATTTCTTCTCTGTTAGGTCTCTCTCCAATTATCTTTTTGGTTATATGATGCAGAAGAGGCTTGCTGCCAATAGCAAATCGGGATCTCGGAGCATCCCAGTAAAACTGGCGAATTATATCAATCACGCGAGGGAGCCGGCAGAGGGTCTTCAGTAGCCTCGGGTCTTTTTTGAAATGCTGGCCGAGAAACATGTATAGCTCACGCTGAACGTTGTAATTTGCATACACCCAAATCAAAGGATTTAAGAATATGCTAGATATAGCATCTTCAACAAGTGGCTCTGCCGAACCTGAAGCAAAGCCAATATGAATTATGATCTAGCTATGCAATGATTAGCCAATAAATGCAGATTTAACAAATGATCATATCAACAGAAGTATGCCAACCACAAGTACAGTGCTCCAAAATGTAAAGTAGCAATGCATATGACACTTACCACAGTTTGCAGCAATATGAAACAAATGTTTTAAAGCGGCAAGAGTATCCAAATTAAGTTGCTCAGGTGGAACTGACTGCAAGAGAAATCCCAGAATTGAAAACCCGGAAAGAAGATGCATTTGATGTTGATTTGCTAAATTCTCATCCAATACAGAAGCAATTAGCTCAAGGACTTCAGCTGTCAGACGCTCTTTGGTGATGGGTGTAAGTAATGCGGGCTCAAATGATCCATTTTCCTCATTGTCATACCTATCAGACTGTGCAATAAGGGGGAAAAAGACAGAAACTCCCCCAACACAATAAATTATTTGCTGAAGCAACCCTCGTGAACATAACTCTGTGCCACCCATAACCATGGCATCAAATGATTTCTTCTCAGTAGATTGATCGAATACAGAAGAAGCATTGAAGAGTTTTTTGCCATCACTAGCCTAAAAAGAAATCAAACTATTAATAATGGGAAATTTTGTAAAAGCAACCACCATAATCAAAATCCATAAACCAATAAAAACTTATCAATCCCATAAGCTTACCTGTGCATTGAGTCCAAAAATAACCTTCGATGACAGACCATCTTTCACATCAAGAACCCCACTGGGGTATGGATTATAATTGTATGGAGTAGCTTCATTATCAAGGAACGCATACATGTAGCTAGGTCCTAAGGAGTATATACCCTGGACTTGCTCTGAGGAAATGGCATCAGAAAACAAATAAACAGGACCAATCTGACCATGAAGCGCTGAGACATCTTGTATAAACTCCGGATAACTATCTTCTTCGTTCTGAGGTAAATTAATTTCCATGCCAACTCTACAGCTTGTCAGCAAGTCATTCACTTTTGCATATCTGAAACATCACAATTTACACATTTGGGGATTAAAGTTGCAGCTTGCAAATCAAACAGTCTCTTTGAGAAAGTTGGATATAAACTATAACCTGCATCTTTCAGATGACACAAGGGCTCCATCAACATAACATTTCACCAAGCTGCCTCCTGAAAATGCCCTGCCAATACTATGGGTGATACACAGAAAATGCCATTTCTTTCTGACAATCTTAATGTCCAGCTGAACAAAGTGTCGTTTGAGATGAATTGACTGAAAAGAAAACAAGAAATAAATATTTGATTACTGAACAAGTTGAAACTTTGCGGTTAAGAGTCAAAAGCAGAAAGCTACTATAAAGAACGACCAATTGCATTTTCCATCTCAATTCTGACCTCATAAATAAGCTTGTCCTTTCCAAGTACTGCCAAGCAACCTTTCCCATTATCACTGAGAAAACTGAAAAGGCCCATTGTACCATTTCTGGGGAAGTTTTCCACCCGAAGCCAGCATGAAAAGGAAAACCCCTTATTCAGCGGCCACTGCAGAGGTGTTTTAATAATGATACCCTAAAACATACCAACAAGAAGGTCAGTTATGTCAACCAAATGGCAGAATCCCTTATCCAGACACAAATAGTGAGACAATGCCTGTCATTTCTTTTTTTCATAAAGTTGCCACTAAACAGATGATCTTGAACACTTTATCGAAAGTAAACAAAAATCAATTAAAAAACATGTGGCACACAGTAATTTTATGGGGAAAAGAAACTAGTGAGATAGAAATCACAATCGAGATTAATTGTTCGTTTTCAATACAAAAAGGTTACCAGCATATACAACTAAATAAAACGAAATATTCCAGTGCTACATCATGAACTTTTAGAATTGACATATAAAATACTTCCAGCAAATAATCTTTCAATTTGCTAAGAGAACAATAGACGGCAGGGGTGTATCCTCTGAATGTAGGAGACAAATGCAGTAGGTGAAGGCAAAACCTTTTCATCTGGTTTTTCCAAACCACAATCATGAAAAACAAAGCCCATTTGGAAAGGACTACCAGAATGACAACATTGATAGGATTACTGAACTGTTTCAAAAACTGGATTGTCACGTTGATGAACAGTCATATGCATTGTTTATGGCTAATCAAGCAGACAAGTTCAAATTTCCAAAAGATAAGCAAACAAAAACCAAAAACGAGGAGTTTCAGTAGGACAATAAAATAACCAATGTAAGCTTAAAAACAATTGCCTAACGTACAGATGATACCAGGAAAGTAATCATTCTGTACTCACTAAACGACTACGGTTAAAAGGGTAACAGCACTAATAAAGTTTAACAGACTGGCAATTAAAAGACAGATGCGCTGCTAAATTGATGGGTCTTTTTCAGCAATAACGCTCAAAGCTCACGGGTGTATCACAGCGATTCCCCTCTTCATGTACAAGTGCGTAGGAGAGTGGCTTTACCAGTTTACCATCCATTCAAGCGTCAGATATCATATCTACAAGTCTCATCCATTCATCCACTCTATATGGAGAAAAAACTAATGCAAATTTTGGCACCATAAGGAATTGAGGTAAAAAAACTTACAGAGTCATTTCCATTGAGGTCAAAAAAGGCCGTTGGTCCTTTCTCATTTAGCATAGAAAGCATAGTGGTCAGCAATAGCGAGCAATACTGCTGACGAGTTCCAACTTTTTCACTTCGCAGGAGCGCAAAGATTTTGCGTATATCCTTCCCAGAAACACTATGACCACCAATGACCTGAATCAATTGAGCAATCTTCAAAATGACGCTGTCCATATCTTCCCAAGAAAACCAATCAAGAAGAAAACTAAGCATTCCTGATCTGACACATGAAGCGCGATTGGAAATGGAATCCCTAAGCAGTTGTTGGAACATGTTGAGTCCATAATGACGCAAAGAGTCACTGCTCTGCCCAATCACAAGATAACAAGTAATTATATATAATAATAGGAAGGACAAGAAAAGTGCAAGGGAAATGACCATGAATGCAGTAGTACAAAGTAAGACAAAGGTAACAAATCTCAAAATAAAATAAAGTTAGGATCTTTTAGAAAAATGAATATAAAGAAGATGATTTACCAACCTTCTGCAGCACACTCAAGTAAAGTATGATCACATCTTCATTCTGGAAAGTAAAACATAGAGAAACAAATGAATGGAGAGAAGCACAACCCTAGCCAAGAACATGATATATATGATGTCACAATAATACGAAGCAGAAGATGGTACGAGATACCTAGTCAAATTAGAGAGCAAATCATAGGCAGAAAGTCACCTTTATGAGGGGGCTTGCCTTAGGGTCAAACTTCCCATCCACAAGCATATCAAGAAGTGCATTTAAAAGTGCTTCACTTGGACGCCATTGACAAAAATCCAGTAACAAACTTTGCAGTGTATGATAACCCTTGCCAACAAGAGCTCGAAATGCAGCCTGTAGAAACAATGTCAGCCAAATAGAAAGAGTACCGAAAAACAATGCCAACTCACAAAAGTTTTTTTTTTTTTTGGTAAACTCACAAAAGAAATAAATGGAAACATTATTAACCATCTCCAGAAAACACTTTTAAGGGTTAGCAAAGGAATGAGATATTCAGGGTTTAGAATTTAGCAAAGACCGGTTACATCACCAATTTTGAGGTACTAAAATCATTGTAGCAGAGAATGGAGATTCCTTTCTTTTGCAAATTAATACAAAAGAAGTAGATGACGGGCAAGTAGGGCTTCAATACTCAAGTTCCGAATTGGACAACATCTAGGTAAATATTGACTTTGCAAATGAAGCTCACAAACCCTACTGATTAAGCCATTAAAATTATAGTCACAAACTGAATGTAAAAAATCTTCAACAATAACAACAGTGTATTAAACCCAGAGAAGATATCAAATGCATTAAGCAAACATCTAGCCACGCTGGCCCACCAAACCAAAAAGAGCAATAAGCGACAGAAATAACACATTAAATCAAAGCTTAAAGTAAATAGAGCAAAGATTGATTGGCAATTCATCAACAAATATAGAAGGAGCAACCTTTGAACTGTCATTACTGGCAAGAAGACAAGTAAGTGTCTGCAGGACATTCAAAACTAACTTCTCTCCGTCAGCCTCGTCGAGATTACCATTTAGCAAAGAGACAACGTGCAAAAAGCACTCGCCGTCACGAAATAAGGCTTGGTAATACTGCAGCAAGAAATAATTAGTAAGGCATCACAACAACCCAAGGACGAGCCACCATCCAGCCCCTCCCGAAAAACAAAGATAAATAGGAAAGAAATGAAAATGGCACGTTATATCTGGAAGCCATTGGCTAAAAGTAGCAGAAACATACAGTGGGATCAGCCGTGAGCATCTCCCTCATTCCAACCAGTAGATCAACAGAGAGTTCTGCATAATTTCTCTCCCTTTCTTTGATTTGAGTGAATGTTTCCAAGTACTTTGAGCACAACACCAGCTTCGCTTTTTGGTCTTCAGCAGTAGATGGTGTTACCTAAACAGCAGTACACATGAATGCTTCAGAAACAAAGACAAGGCTAATTGGCATGGACTGCACATTAAAATTAATCTACAACACAGTAAGATAATTACTCGATACCTTCATAAGGATGAGAACATGCTCAAGCACTTGATTTCTCATGCTTTCTTGCCAGAACAACTCAAACAAGCACTCAATACAACTCCAATCATGCAAAACCAAACTCTTTGCATCATCTGCAGACAAGAAAAATTCTTTAAATAGCCCCATGCATGTCTCCATGCATTCAGCCTGGCTGTGGACTACCGCATTTGCATCAAATCTAGGATCAGAATTGGTTGGAAGCAGTTCACACTCAGGAGAAGTGTTCATAGCTTGAGATCTTCGAGATTCCTCTACTTGGATGCAAGCTACTCTCAGCACCCGAGAAATTGCATTCAGTGTCTTGAAAGAAGCTATAGTTTTCTCAGATGAGAGGCGGAAAATTCGAAGAAGACTCTTTGCAAGAACTTTTGCAATTAGAGAATGGCAGGCACATTGTTCGAGAGCATCCAACAAAGCAGACAACTCGGGCTGAGACATAAAAAGCATGCACAAGAGAGTAAGAAAGAAATAAAACAAATTAAGAAACTACCAAGCAGGAATTCAAAACCAATATTGCGCATTTGATAAACAACGGCATAGCGAACAAACATTAATTCTTGTCCATGAAGTCACAGACCGCATCTTAAAAACCAAATGACAGTGCCACTACAAACAAATAAAACTTGATGCGCCAAAAAATAACATTTTACACAAAACTTCATAAGCAGCCATGGTGCAGTAAAAACATTGAGCTTAAAAGAATATGGCAAATATATGCACTTAAATGAAAGATTAACCCACCAAGTTATGAGCACTCCCTTTACAAGTTGCAGCAAATTCTACACACGAGACTATTTCCATCTGAAGAATTTCAATGCCACCTGCCCCTGTTGAACTGTTAGAACTGTTGGACAAAGAAACCGGTGCAAGCTTCCCAGGAAACCCTTTGCAGTTAGTGCAACACTCTGTGGTACTTTCTACTGACGACTTACCAAAATAGAAAAAGTTTTCAGAGAAAATCAGATCCCATATGCGCTCTTCCCTAAACACTTCAAGTGATATTGGGGATGAAACAAGAACCTTCCTGAAAGCATCAAGAACACAATGCTGGAGGGCATTTAAAAAGACCCTGCAAGAAAAAATATGGACAAGTAGAATGCAAGAGAAGAATGAGAAAATAAATATAAGTGTATTTATAACCTATAATCTGCAGAAAGCAAAAGGAACAGAATACAATGTACTCATGTCATCACCTGGAAAGACTTGGCTGCTCATTCTGATTCGAACAAGCCTTCATACACGGGAAGATTGTAAGGAGGACTCTCATAACCCATCTAATTGATAGCTCGCCATATGCCGAGGAAACAGGTACGACCTCAGGGCCAGTATTAGCTTGTGATTTTATTATTTCAGGAGCAACCACAAATGAACAAAGAACCCTGCTCAACTTAACCACATGTTCACCCCACAGTTGAGAGTGAGAAGCATCTGCGTGAAGGGAAAAGGATGGCTGCAGGATCACATGACTTTCACTTTTCAAGCCAAGAAAAGGAAGATGGGAATCAGCCCGGACAGACGACTCCTTAGTTTTCTGCCTATACTCTTGAAGCATGAAAGCAAGTGCGCAGAAACTATTAGCAAATTTCTGAATCCTTCCATTTTCGCATAGATACTGCAAGCTGCTCAAATTACGAAATCTGAATAGTTGTTAAGGACACTTCGGTCATAAGAGAGAGCTTACATGATAATACCATCAAATGCAATTTTAACTTTCCCTTAGGCAATTCTTTAAAAAAAGCTATGTTAAACAACCATACAACAACAGCTTATCCAAGATGCACAGCAAGAGATTCCCATGCCCTTTTGATGTTGAGCATGGACCAAAGAACGCAAAACTCGCCTTTTCACCGCATGAAACAGGTCTGGACATAAAGCAATGGGGTCAAGTTACAAAGGCTTCTAAGTATGAATTTCACACATGGTAAAGGTCAAGGCACTTGAATAAAAGGTTGGAAATGCATCACATAATTGGTTCCACAAATTCAACAGATAAAAGACAATGCCAGGGTTGAACAAAAACCATCTCTCTCCACTTTAAGGATAAAGAAGCCCATGAGCATTACCAACATCTCCCTCCTCGTGCCAAAAACGAAACAGAAACTATAGAGACGTGTGCGCAGCAGAACAGGTGATAAAGGATACACAGCTTCCCTAAGCACAGTCAGCGAAAGTGCATGAAGTTCAAATATTTTCACCCAAGGGTTCTCGTCTCTGCAACAAACGTAGGCCAATATTATCAAACATGAAAAACAGACAGCACAAGAGACTTAAATTGAAGTCAAGCCAAGGAATCCTTGACGATCCAGCTAATTACGGATATTAGTAAGCACATTGATTATGTTGCATATTTCACATGGTACCTTCTATCACCAGAATAGGTGGCATTCTTCAGTAAGAGCACATTGATTGATGGAAGGCCTAGGCCATCTAACAAAACTTCAAGCCCTCCAATACTTTTGAAATGATTCTGACCCCGTGGATTCTCAACTAATGCTATGTGAAGGATCTTCAAAGTCAAGTTTTGGAGTGATATATCTGTCCACTGCTCTTTGAGACTCAACCTTCTAATGACACGTAACAACTCTGAAGAACAGAAATGTCTACGAGTAAGTAGAGAACAAAGTACCAGCATAAAACCGTTGTTCTGACAGAAGGGAATGCAACACCACTAGGAAAACAGCAAGTCCTATACAACAGCTGCCAATGGAAGCCAGAGTGAAAATGGTGTCTACTTGCAAGAAGAGAAGGCATTATTCAACTACCCGCCTTCGTATACCTACCAAGATGAAAATTTGACATTCTATTCCACAGTAAATTACATCCAAGTCCAGAAGCCAATGTTCAAATTCACATGTCATAAGAGTCACAGGCTCCTTCCGAGAATTGCAGATGCATCACATATAATCAAACAGCAAAGCAACAGCAACCATGGGTTTTATCAAAGAAATAGCAAATATGGGCACCTGTTAGGAAGTATTAAGGTTTTCCGCTCTTGCATAGGCATATAGCGAAGCACCCATGTTCATGGGATCCATCATATTCATTCAAACAACAGATATAGACAAGCCTAATAAACTACTAAGGCTATATATCAATCTAAAAATGTATAGCAACAGAAATTTGTGCTAAGACATGTCTGGGACTGGTACAGCTTCATAAGAAGATTGAACAAGTCAAGGACGTACGCACAGAAAAATTACAAGTGCCTACCTTACCTACTAACCAATTAAGGCCACCGGCCTCCATGACAGCAACAACTGCCTTCTGACGCCAATACATCTTTGAATCAGTAAGAACCTTTGAGCTGGTAGAGGCATCAATTGATGGTGCAAACACAGCTTTTCCATAAGCATTTGTGTTCAAATCTATAAAGTTGCACATTATCGATATCACATGAACAAGTATTTGCTGCAGGAGTAGAGTTTTCTCTGAAATCGGGTCAGACAAATTTTCCTCGCCAGAGAGTGCACCTGCTATTCCTTTTAGTTGAACAACAGCTCCTTTTTTTTTTTTTTTTTGGAGAGGGGGTGGGTGTCAACCTTAGTTAGAAATTACAAAAGGTCCATATGCTGAAATATACGATTGACAAGATTAAAGCACAAATATAAGAGTACCTTTCAGTAATGCAGTTAGCTTTTGGACACCACTATAACAACCAAAAACTCTGCAATTGTGCATTGAACGGGTTATTATAGTTAATGCATCCAGAACAGGCAATCCTTCAGCAGAGACATTCAAACTTGGTGACTGTGATAAGTCTAATCCAGCATGTGTACCGTTGGAATTCACTGGAGTGACAATGAGAGGGAAAAGTGAATAATATGCTTCAAGCATCCGATATTACTAGGGTACAGTTAAGCAATGCATAAGAGATAGGCATAAGTTCCTGAAAAACGGATTGTTGAGGCCATAGCACAGTCTCAAAATATCATGCACTCACTAGAAGATCCTCAATGGCTATTTTTTGGGTTGGTTTTTAAAAGGACCCTTAGTTCCAGTATCCACAGACAATTAGAGAAATAATAAGCAAACTTAGTAAACCCGGACAATCTTTAGATATCCTATTTTGCTGCCATTGGCTAGCCCAACATAGCAAAACAGGTCACAATTTCATCTCTGATCTTGATAAATGGATGCATACAAATTTATCTAAGAACGTGAAAGACAAATCTTGCACTCTTCAAATTTTCCATTTTACAGAGGCTTTTATTAAAATCTCCAAAACCAAAATATTATCAGTTTCATGAACTTCATTGAAGGCATCCAAATAATTCTTTAGCAGATGACGGTAGCAATTTATATATGGGTCTTTTACTACTATAAGAAAGCTACACAATCAACTTACAATCTGCAATCAGGGTAGTTATATGCCCAATCTCCTCAATCAGAGCCAGAATGATCTCAGCAGGGTGCCCAGCAAAGCAACCAACAACCACATCCGCACAGCGGAGAGGATACTCTGTGGCATTTGTTGTAGGAGTAGTCTCTATGAACTGACCGGCATTTACAGGTACCCAGTTCTTGAATGCGGCAACAAATTGCTTGAGGAAAACATGGAACAGCTTTCTCTTGTCGACCTACAAACATTGCAATGAATAATAGACAAAATCATACCAGAAGAAGTAAAGATGTGGAATGATATATGAACAACTGTCAGAACTAAGAAAGGCATACACCGATGGGAAAAGAGAGACCAAACAACCAGCATACATCAATTGACATTCCTTCTGTATCACTCTTACCAAAACATATGACTGAGTGGAACCATGACACAGACCAGACTTACTCTTCACATCCAGATACTACAAGATGGAACCGCACCAATCCATACAAGCTCTGTACATATATTTTATGAATCCAAGCTTCCTCCATATTAACAGTCTACCAATTACTCAAGCCAAAGGACGAGAGGAAAAAGAAGAGATGACTCCTTTCTCCCACAATCCCTATTGTTTTGCTAGATAACGATTTCAGTGAATCTAATTAGATGCTAGATACTAATGTCAAATGCCTCAATTTTAATAATTTAACAAATTATCTCTCATTTATATTATTTAAATTCAACCCCAAAAAGTTAGCCCAGTGGTTATGCGGGATGACTGATATTCAATCCACATTCCAGTCCCTGGGGTGAACATCACCTACAAAAAGACAGTATAACCACTATCTGACATTTAAGCATTCAACTTTTCATTTTTCAAACAGGAACCTTCACAAGAAAAAATACAGTCTAGGAAATGAAACGGTTTCAGAAAAAAACAGCTGAATATTGAATCAAAAGATTAGAAAGAACACATTAGGAATTCAAACCTGTACCTTATCAGTTATACTCTCGTGTTTCTTCCATAAGGTATGCAAAATTGCTTCATCACCTTCTTCACTATAACATGACCAAAGGATAAAGTTTCAGTTAATTTGTAGTGCGAACAACAGATTAAGAGAGTCTACTTGAGATAAAGGAAACCAGAAAGTGATCAATAAATCCATAAGATACAAAACAGCAGGCAGGCTAGAAAGAGAACGGAAAGTCAGAAATACAACTGATACAAATATTGCTCTTTCGTTCAATTACAGACAAGAAGCTAAACTGGGTAGAATCACTTCACATGTTAAGAGATTAGGGAATTTGTAGACGAAGGAAAAGAAAACCAGTTGATTAAGTAACGATAATAAACACCGTCAATATCTTTTGATACTTAAGTAACTACCAAACTTGCTTCATCCTAAACAAATGACTATGCCTTGTTTTCCAGGAAACCTATATTGATAACAAAACCACTTTAAAGTAGAGCAATGTCGAAAGAGACAACTGTCTTAATAATATACAATTCTATTGTGGTTCAATGATACACCTAATCATCTGTGGAAGGCTTACAACTTTGTTAGCCGTTGTACTGTGCTTTTGTCACAAAAAAAAAACATACTAAATTTTGAGCATTCATGTCAAAAGAATAAAACTGAGGATTCATACCCCTTATGATGTAATTTTTTCCACAAAGGACCTTTACAGGGTTCCTCCAAAATCTCTGCTAAATGTGGAACACAATCAGCCGACACACCCCTTCTTGCTGTCACTTCTTTTACCTTACAAATTACTAATTCCCCTCGTACTAGGCTCACTTCCCCACTTACTGAATCAAGGGTTGCAAAACCAATCTTGGACAGACTGAATCCAGGTAATTTCAGAGTTATAAAAGAACTCATTCAGCTAGGAGAAGTTAGTCAGCTGAGGACCATAGGTCATGTAACAGGGATTTTGCCGAATTATTGACCGGGAAGACCACAATAGGAAACACATTGGAAAGGGGCTTGCATGCTTAAGATTTGATACAAGAGCTCGTTTATAAGAATTTGCAACACATGGCTAAAACCCATTTGTAAGGACAGAGTATACCAGAGGTACTTACTGCATAAAGGCAAATAACAAGAGTAAGTTAAACAGTAGTTCAGTGTAAAAACCAGATATTTCCTTCAAAGTCTCAATCATTCTAACAAGACTAATGGAAATAACTACCATTAAGGAAGTTGCAGCATCAAGAATTAAAAACTTCACCACCCTACCATAAATCACATAGCTAATATAACCACCAGTAGTTGGCTTCTTTAGTTTCATCAAATCATGTGACAAATCATATTATACTATATACTGATTGATTAAAGTTACTTAACTAAATCACAGATGCCCATAGGTCAACCTCCCTGCTTCTCCTTTTAAGAGCCACGAACTTGTACCAATTGAAATTAGAACCAGCCTCATGATGGTTTTGTTTTCTAGACAACAGCCACTTTTACGGACTCCTAATGTAATCAACCAGGTTTTGTCCTCAGCCTAACTGCAGGATTTTTTTTTTATCTATTCTACAAGAGTGATTCATCTGTGGAGCCAGAATAGTTGATTGGGTTGATAAGTGTTGATCTTGCAACTGATATAGCTGCTGGTGGATGGGATTTTATTACATTAATGGATGGGGAGGTATAGTTGGAGACGAGAGCAGAGAGTTTATTTGGTCTTAGACTTCATTTACTTTAATTGGATTCTCAAACCCCTTCTAAAGAGGATTCTCTAGTGAAGTACTGCTTGCTGTTGATATTGCTGCCGGCAGCAGGTATTCTAATGCATGAACTCGGGACTAGGAGGTGTACAGTTGGGGAAGAGACAGAGAGTTTAATTGAGTGTTTGACTTGTTTTCTTCGAATGGATTCTCAAAACCCTTCTTGCGGGATTCTCAAGCAAAGTCCTGCTCTTGGATTAGCAGAGCAACCCTTCAAAGCCCTACTTTCCCATTATTTTCCAGAACTTCGAGCAGCTATCTAACAACATAGAAAGGACTCAATTGCGGTATATGCTTCCGCATATTTAAGTCCAATGAAATACAATAAGCAGTTTTAGTTTAATAAGTAAATGTTTTCCATTTCCTGCAACTTGGAAGAGGAACAGGTTTAATCTCTAACTGAATTTAACTCTCTTGTAAGATTATATAAAAGCATGCAAGTAGGTTGACTTGGTTCTGTGGAAGATAAGAGCTGCAATGTTATTTTATGAAAAACTGCTAATTTCCTGAATATGAAAATTCCATGACACTGTTTCTGTGTATAGTTATTTATTGATAGTCTATGTAAAACCTTACATTGATGTGCCCTTTCCACTCTAGCCGCTTCAGAAATTCCTTATTGTTTCCCGGAAATAGCATTTCTTCTACAAGCCCCACCAAATGTTCATATGTCCTTCCATTCTACTCCTAAGGAAAGCAACCAGATTTGGCACCACATAGCTTTCAAGAATTCCAACTTCCTAACCCTCCCAGTTATGACGGACAAAGAGCTTGTTCAAAAAGAAAACACCCTCTCAACCTAGCTTCCAAGGATTCCAACTCCCTAACACTAGTACATTTAATGCACCCAACCCAAATTCCAAGTACCTCATGAATAAGAGGAAAATACGACGATCAGAAAGAACACAAATATTGAATCACTTTAGTAACTACTATTATGTCAGGTAGAGATGGAAAAGCGAAAGTTTTGCAATCAGGAAGCTTCAGGATAGTGCTAACTTCCATGTGACAAGAGCACTAACCTGAAGCAGATTTTAGGAGCCGGTGCTGGAAACTTCTCTGTTGTTGAGCGTGAACTAGATTCTCCAGTTTGGATATTAGATGTTCTTCGGATAAGGTCAGCCACACCCTTGACTATGTTCATGCTTTCCAAGATTGTTTTAAAAGAAGTTGAACGATTTCTGGTGCATCATAAGGAGCAGATGGTGATCCCTTGCCATCAGTTCCCCGCGAGCTCAATGATCCATTTCCATTGACAAGCTACCCACGGTAAGCTCGGCAAATAAATGCTCAATCATCCAGGAGTTTGAACACTGTGAATTGGAAAGAAAAAATCGCTTCAGTCCAGGATACTTGGAGAAAATCATATGGCAACAACTTTCCCTGTTCGCCTGTTCTCCAGAAGAATAAGAAAACGAAAGCAAGTATCCACTTTACGGAGCAGCTTCCCACTTGTACGCAACTACTATACTAGTTCAGAAACATAAATTTCAGACAGAACCACCACCATAAGTTTTCAAGGAGGGGCAGCCATTAAAACTGCCGGCCGATCATCTGGAAACCCAATGCGAACTCGTTGAGAATCCAGAATTTCAAAGGCAGAACGAAGACAAGTTACTTGTTGGATTAAAGAAGAGAGAAATCGAATGATTATTGATGAAGGAATATGACCTGATCAGATCACCGCGGGAGTCAAAAATTCCGCCGGAGTTAGGGTTTTCGATTGGGGGATCCAAGCACTAAATGCCCTGCGTTAATGGCGTTGAGTGAAGAAGAGGCAAAACAAAAAGTGATCCGTTAAATTCACGGAAGAGGTGAAGAGAGGAGGAGGAAAAAAGGTGAACAATCAACAATGCTGATTTATAACATTAAGGCCCCTGATAATGAACTTAATTACATGATTACCCTCACATAGGAAACTATTTGATTGACCAAGAAAAGATTAGGATGCTTAAGGAATTTTACATATGAGTGTCATCTCTTAAAGATTAAATTAAATTATTATTAAATAAGAATATTTTATCAGTAAAAATTACAACAAAATTTCACATTATGTTTTGTATTATGAAAAAATGGTAAAATTGGGTGTTTATACTACTCAACAAATCTCTCTCGATATATTCTACTAGACAAAGATAGCCCGTAATTAGGTCAATAATTAAGTTTTGAGAACAATTGAGAATAGGAATAGTCTTTTTACTATTACCTTTGGATCAAAAACACAACAACAAATATTTAAAAAAAAAAACACAACAACAAATGAGTTGTAGTTTAATTGAAAATATGTTTACTAATAATGGCAGTGTCCCAAGTTCCAAATCACATAGAATACCACTTAAATATTATTTGTACCCATACACAATCAACTACAGGAGGTTGGATAATCCCTTTTTTCCAAATTTTAAGGGTGGTCCGCTACCACTTAGCCATATGCAAACTACCATCGGTGATTGGATAATTATTTTTTCAAATTTTAGGGGTGTCCCAGGACAACCCTAAACCTCTATAGATCCTCCACTGAGGGTGCTAACACTTTTTTTTGTTAACATGATGATTACACTAGTTCCAACTAATGGAAACATGGAAAAGCCCACTAGAGGCAAGCTTGTCATTAATTAAAGGCAAAATACAGTTGTATATCCACAACTATTACGTTTGTGACAAATATATCCACAACTATCAAAATACACGAAATATCCAAAAATCGGAAGGTTGTGTGACAAATCTATCCACTTCCGTCTGAAACTATAACGGTGTTAGTGATGCCGTCAGATCTGTTAGCAATATGCTGATTAGGACGCCATTTCAGCGCACACATCATCGACAAGTCAGCACCAAGTGACACGTCATATTTACTTATAAATATTTATTGATAAAAAATTAATAAAAAATAAAAAAATTGCTTCTCTGCCACAGACCCTTCCCCTTCCTCCCACCTCCGCCCCTCATCCCTCTTCCACCCATCTCCACCCCTCCTCCCTCTTCCACGACCATTCCACCCACCCCCTCAACTTCCTCCCATCTCTGCCCCTCCTCCCTCTTCCACCGCCATTCCAAACCCACCCACCCCCCGGCCGCCCTCCGCCATCGATTCATCTCTGCCAACTCCCACTGCATCCAAAGAAAAATAAAAAAAATTGTAAGCGCTGCGCCACCATCGATACATTTGCCGTTGTTGAGTCGCCGTCCAGCCATCGAAGCTCGCACCCATCTCCGTACAGCCAGATCTCCGTGAACCCACTTCCCTTATTTAACCCCGTCGGGCTCTTCCCCCTTTCCCCAATCTAAAAAAAATTAGGGTTCATCATACTCGTTAGCTGCGTGACATTCACCGATCAGAACCAACCCACCATTATGCACGTCAGCGTCGATGGAGGGAACAGATTCGATTCTTCTTTACCACGAGCCTACTTTGGGTTCTTCGTGTCCACGCCACGGCGGTGGCTTTGTCGGCGGAGTTGCTGGAGCGAACGCCATGCTTGTGAAGATTTGCTAGAGGGTATATTGATGTCCAGTGATGTTGGAGGCTCAAACAAGGAGAAAAAGAAAGAAATAATCTAAATTAGGGATTCCAAAAATCAAATTGAATTGATGCAGCTGGAAACCTAATAAAAACAAGAGATTCCCAAAAGCCAATTTAATGGGTGGAATCAAATTCAGGAAGCGAAGAAGACTTGCTGGAAACCACTGTCGCCGTCACAAATCGCTTCTTCCTTCTCAGTCCGTCGCCGCGAGTAGGAGGGAGTCGACCACCACAACGTACACTGCCAAATCTTCCTCCTCCACTTTCGAATATGACCGAGATCGACAGTGACAGCGAACCCAAGAGCAAGAGAGCCATCGGTTGCTTGTTCTTCATCACTTCATGGTTGTTGTTCTCTCGCAGCTTCTTCGCTGGTTGATTTTCCATGGCTGCAGTGACGAATCAGGAGAGTTTGAGAAGAAAGCAAATATTGGGAAGGAAGATTTGGGCGAAACCAATGTCGCAATTATTAGTCATTTTATGTTTTATATTTTTTTTAATCCACGTGGATTCGTGGGGACAAATATCGCCAACTAAGCATTCCCTGTTAGTCCAGTCACTCTGTTAACTGACACCGTTAATGGAGTGGACGGAAATGGGTATTTCGTGTATTTCGATAGATGTGGATATATTTGTCACAAACCTGATAGTTGTGGATATGGAAGTGTATTTTGCCTTAATTAAAAACTAAAAAGAAAGGAAAATTCAATTTCGTTAACTTGGAGAAGGGGTGCATTAATTGGGAAGTGGGTGGGTAGGAGACCATCAAACACATGCCACAACACACTAGAAACAATACAACAAAACACCACAAACCCTAGAAAGAATTCCACAACTTCACCATACCACAAAAATAATAAACTAAACCACAAACTCAGGAAGCAAACTATAAGTCCCATGAAGCACACCACAAGTAAGCATATCACAATTTTTATAAATCACACCACAAATTTATTAAAGCATACCTCAAGTTCAATAAAACATACCACAAGTTTCTTAAAGCACACAATAATATTTGACTGATTTATAAATTTTTAAAAGTTCATGTATCAAAATGTACGAAAGAAATAAGGTACTAAAATGTAATTTTTTCATCAATATTTTCAAGACTTATTTGTAAAAAAACATAATTTTAAACACTATATTTAGGTACTAAACTGTTATTTTCATGTGAACCTCCACGAAAAGTGAAAACAACGTAGAATATGAAGGAGGAAGGGTAAGGATAAGTATATCACAAGTTGCTAAAAGCATACCACAAATTTATCAAAGCATATCACAATTGGGAAGGAGAGAAGAGGAAAATGAAGCATATCACAAGTTTATCAAAGCATACCACAAGTTCATTAAAACATACTACAAGTTTATCAAAACATACCACAAGTGAGAAGGAGGAAAGAGAAGCATATCACAAGTCTCATAAAGTAGACCGCAAGTTTATTAAGCACACCGCAAATTTCTTGAAGTAGACTGCAAGTTTATAAAATAAGACCACAAATTTCACAAAACATACCACAAGATTCATAAATCATACACAAATCTGATGAAGTACACCACAAATTTATAAAACAGACCATAAGTCTAATGAAACATACCACAAGTTCGATAAAACAAACCACAAATCACATAAATCATCCAATAAATATTACAAAAACAAATCACAAGTTACAACAAATCTTAATAAATATTAAAGTAGTTTTAGAATCTACCGTATATATAACTAGCATAGACCCTGCCCTTTGGGCAGGTAGTATTTATATTTTTACAATTAAATCTATAAATATATGTGATCATGAATTAAAAATGTTTCACAACATTTATTCAGTTGAAGTCAAGAATGAAATTTTGTCGTCTTTCTTACTTGTATGTATGTTTTAAAGAGGCTTATTGAGTCTAAATCAAAATTATAATATTTTATGTTGTATTTGAAATCTATAAAATTTATAGAATAAAATTATATATTGTATATATGTTATTATTAATATAAAATTCTTATTAAAAAGATAATATTAAACATGAAAGCAAAAATCGGGTTAAAAATGGCTTAAGAAGCCATCTTCAAAATTTATCATGGAAAGCCTAATTAATAAAGCCACATGTTCCCAAAAGATCTGTAGATGAACATTTGGTTCCCCAATTTATTTTTCAAATTCATTAATTAAACTGTGAAGAGTAGAAGGATAAACTTGATTAAAAAATAATAGCGGGTAACTGTTCTTAGCAGAAGGCAGGGAAAATTACAAAAATACAAAAATACAAATTTTTTAGTTTGAATAATAGAAGGGTTATTAAAAATAAAAATATAAGAGTCACGTTGGTTAACAAAAGAATTATTGGTGGTAACCGTTTCTTAGCAAAAGGAAAAAATTCTAATTAAAATGTTTTAGTTTGAATAATAGAAGCGTCACGTTGTTTAACAATAATTTAATTATTATTGGTGGTAACCGCATCTTAACAAAAAAAAACACGAGAAAAAAAAGAGAGAAAAAAACCCTAATTCCGAAAATTGAGGAGAGCTCTCCAATGCTGACGTGGATAGGGTGATTTTCTCAAACCCCTTTAATATTTTTTTTTTTTTTACAAGCCCTTTAATATATTTTAAGATAGCAGAAAACCAAAACTGCCAACCCCGTTTCAAATTTCCAGCCTCCAAAGCGATTTGGAGAAGTGCAGACTGCATACAACTTTTACAATGTCAATGTAATGCATAAATTTACTTCATCCAAACAAGAACAACGGTGGGTCGTAGCTAATTCCGATTTTCTTTGTCTAATTTCTTTGCAGCAAAAGTTTTGTGGAGAAACGTAAATGGTCTTTTATATGTAATTTTTCAACAATTAAATTATCTAGTGTGAGTATAGTGGGATTTGAGAATATGGCTTAGCTTGAGTCTCCAGTTGGTCGATAGTTTAATTACATTTTTCTAACCCATTTTTGGTTTGGTTTGACAATATGAGCTAGGTAGGATCAGCATGGATGCATCATGCATGTATGGTATTCTCCTCCCTAGTCATCCATTACACTTGACTGTAATAATTCCTCTTGACATTTCGACTATGGTTGACTGACTCTCCTCTCCAGTCCACCACACTCCTAAGCGACATTTTCCTGACCTGTTTTTGGGGTTAAGTGGACAACGAATAGGAACTAGGATGCAATTTGATCATCCACAGTATTGATCAGCTCGCGCATCATCCACGGCTTACAAGAACACCACAACTTGCAACTGCCGAAGGAGAAGAATCCAGGAGCCAACTTCGGTAAGTGAACATGGAGACCAAAATCCCATGAT